TGACCAGTAACACCTATAATCGAAGTATGCCAACCCAGTCAAATCAAAAGTCAGAAACGAAGACGTTCGAAGATATATTTGGAAGACCATCGATATGTCGGGAAGGCTTTTGTCTGAGTTGGCCAACGATCGCACGAGATGCGTATTATGGCGTACTCACTCGTGATCTGGTGTGGATGCATTGTGGTGGACCAAACAAATATGAACGCGAAAAAGGGTTAACCAAGTTATAAAGGGTAAATAAGTCCACAGCATTACCTAGAGCCTTCAGCTAGGTAAGTCCTTGGAAGCAACTCCCAGTAATCGGAAACACAACATAGTAGAACAGACTGTAGTAATAGCTCTTACCCTCTTAGTAGTCAGATTCCAGAATTCCCTGCAGGCCGAAGTAGTCCTGACGACTTCTCAGGAGTCCTTTAAAGGGGAACTTGACATATTGTTAAGGAACCAACACAATCACCATAATTCACTAATATTTTTACTTTATCGTCAAGTATAACTAGGTTCCTACCTGAAGGCACTGGTGATCCACTGCTATTAGATAGGAAAGCCCTATGTGGAGAATTGAACAAGAAACTTGGACTTCCAAGAATAGAGCCTTTGACAGTCACACGTCTCACTCGGGGAAAGGAATCCAAGCATCAAAATCACCCGAGGCTACTTCGTGTAACACTTAAGAATGCTACCGACGTAGAGCATGTCTTACTAGCGAGTCATTTACTGAAATCAGATGGGAATGTAAGAATACTGCCTGACATACCGTATTCTGGGCGCAATCTCATCCGGAACATCCCCAAAGAAACTCGCGATCAGTTTTTCCGCGGGAGGAATATAATCGTGCAAGGTATACCGGAAAATACGGACCCTACTCAATCAAAGACCGACATCAGGGAATGGAAATTCATCAAACAGCCCTTGAGGCTCAAAAACATACTAACTCAGCATGTGACGAGACTAGCCAAGAAGGATGGTGATTCTAGACCCCATCTAATGAAGATAACTTTCCCATCTTCCCATATGGCGGCTGCAACTCTGGAAGCATTTCGTGCCAACGGACGTCGACTGCCACCTGGAATCCACATGCAACCGGATAGGCCATACGAAGCTAGGACCAAACACAAAGGCAAGTTGGAGCTAACCATTCCACTTGTGGACCGTCTAGACGATAAAAAACGTGTAAAGGACAGGGCCTGCCACCTCGGCAAACCTCATATAGGTGGCCTACCTGTCCATTCACGTAAGGCTCACACAAACAAACAGGAAGAAGCTCACGCGTTCCAAATTGAAAGCATAAACTGCTTATATATGAACGCCGCGAGTCTACCAAACAAATTGGATGAACTACGTGAACTTAGCAATACTAATAAGGTCCATCTGATGGGAATATCCGAAACCTGGATATCTTCTCAGTTCTCGGACCATGAGTTAGCATTATCTGGGATGTCTTTGTTCCGCAATGACAGAAAATCAGGATTTGGGGGTGGAGTAGCTGTTTACATACATTCTTGCTTGGAGGTGCATCAAGTTCACAACCTCGAGTTTAACAATCTTGAGGAATCCATATGGTGCTCTGTAAGATTGTCAAGTACTTCGAGGTATCTAGTCGGAGTCATTTACAGGAAGCCAACTGCCGACATTGAGTACGGTAGTCGTATGCTGGAAGGACAATCCCACTCTACTCGTCTCGGTTCCACACACATCCTGATTCTAGGGGACTTTAATCACCCTAGAGTCAACTTCGCGGAACACACGTATACTGGAGGCGACAACTCGATTGAAGCTCGGTTCTTCAGCCTCGTCGATGACTTGGGATTGTACGAAAATGTGAGGTCGGCAACTCGTTGGAGAAACAGTCAGACACCATCGCTCCTAGACTGTGTATTCACAAACGAAGAGTTTCTAGTCGACAACCTCTCAATCCTGGCTCCCCTGTGAAAAAGCGATCATGTAGTCATAGCCTTCAATTTTGTCAGCAAAACTAAGCCAAGATACCCCACCAATAACTTGCGCTGGAATTTTAAACGGTTGGATGTGCCAGCTCTACAGGACTATCTACAACAGGTGGTTTGGGATGTCCACCCCCAACTCCATGTGGACGGTCATTGCACACGCTCTTACGTGCTACAAACCATTCAGTTCCTCAAACGGTTCCCAAAAGCTGCAAGCCACCTACAATGATCAAGAACCGTACCCTTCGTCTGTTAAGGCGCAAAAGACACTGTTGGGCGGAATACAAACGGACTGACAACGACGGAGCGTACAGGCAATATAAACATATCAGGAACATATGCACGAAGGCTATAAGAGAAGATAGGCTTCAGTACCAGACAAAGCTTATGGATAAATTTGCCTCTAATCCTAAAGATTATACCGTTGTGCAGCCTCTAATCGTCAAGCCAAAACTGGAGTTTCCCAACTGCTAGGTCTTAACGGCCCGACCAACAACGATGGCCACGCCGCTAACCTTCTGGCTGAACATTACTCCCAGACATTCCAACCGACCGACAGTAACTTTACTGATGACAGTTTCGTTTGCAATTCAACAGGACTTTCCGAAGTGAACCTAAGCACTGACTTGCTGTTTCGGAAACTGCAGAACTTATGATTAGACACTTCTCCTGGCCCGGACATAGTCCATTCTGCCATACTGAGGGAAGCAGCTTCAATCTTGACAACGCCGCTTAGCGTGATGTTCTCACGCCCGCTAAGTCGAGGAAAACTACCGGAAAGTTGGAGGCTGGCTCACATCACACCAATTTTCAAAGGAGGTCGACGCAGCGAACCTTCAAGTTACTGACCTGTGGCTCTTCTCTCCATACCCTCAAAAATCATGGAGTCTTTGATATGCGATGGTATACATGACTATTTACTGTCCTTAACTTTCTTCTCGCCCCAACAGCATGGTTTCAGGAAGGGTTACTCCTGTATTACCAACCTGCTGACTGCGGTGGACAGATGGACAAGCATCCCTGATCACAAAGGGAAGGTTGATATCATCTACCTAGATTTCTCAAAAGCTTTTGATAAGGTTAACCATACATGTCTTATCAATAAGCGCAAAAGATTGGGTATCAGACAACCTCTAACTGATTGGCTCACTTCATATCTGAAAAATCGACATTTTAAGGTCACGGTTAACTTCAATCTCTCTCAGGCTATGGAATGTCCTAGTGGGGTCCCCCGGGGCCCAGTACTAGGACCTCTTCTCTTCTTGATCCACATAAATGATCTTCCTCAACAGGTAACGTCAGACTTATTACTTTTTGCTGATGACGTTAAACTTTGGAGAGAGATACGCAATCAAGACGATAAACAGACACTTCAGGAGGATCTGCCTCGACTTCAAATTTGGACAGACGATGACGGACTTACCTTTGACACTTCTAAGTGTAAAGTAGTCCATCTGCGACATGTCACAGACGACAGTTATAACTTAGGTAACTCCTCTCTAGTAGTATCCCAAGTCTAAAAAGATTTAGGAGTCCTGGTGCTTTACGATTTAAAGTCCTACGCTAACTGTGACAAAAATGCCTTCCGAGCAAACCTTGCACTGGTAACATTGAAGCTCATTTTTGGCCAGTTTGACGGAAGAACTTTCCATATAATCTTCAATAGTTTTATCCGTCCCCATTTAGAGTACGGAAGCATAGTATTCCCCCCGACACTCCAAAAGGATAAGGACACCCTGGAGGGAATCCAACGGAGAGCCACGAAATCGGTTCGAGGACTCAAATTTAAACCCTACGAAGAGCGCCTCCATTCACTTAACCTTTACCCATTAGAGTATAGGCGTCTTAGAGGTGAACTGATGGCTTACAGTATCCTTAACAGTTCTTGACATTCTCTTTAACACCCACTTAAACTTAATCCCAATAAAAACCTAAGGGGTAACACCCAGATATTGGAGATACATTACAGCAGAACGGACTGTAGACGCAACTTCTACTCCTTAAGAGTTGTCAAATGCTGGAATTTGCTGCAGGCCGAGCTAGTCCAAGCGACTTCCCAAGAGTCCTTTAAGAGGCAACTTGATCTATTCTTAAGGACTAAGGATAGTATCACACTATGATCCACTAATTTCTTTTCCTCTTTTATTGGTAACGTACCTAGGTTCCTGCCTGGAGGATTTGGTGATCTCCTGCTACTAGACACGGAAGCCTGTTAAGCGAAAGCTTCTTCTATTCCGTCCACAACCATTTGAACCATTTGATGCGAAAGTTTCTCCTGTTCCTCCCGTGTTGGTGCCTCAAGGTCAATTAAAGCGCACGAGCTTGTAAGGTAGCGTTGTTCTTCGGGCTGAAGTGTAAGTCACTGACAAATTATGATGTACAAGTGGTTTTGTGTATAGCTTAAGGAATGTTGTGATTTACAGTGCTTACAACATTATGTGTAGGGCTGAAAATTTACCTTTCTTTGTGATCACAGGCCTCCTAGATCGTCTGCATACGAGTGCTCTCCTCCAAAGTCTTAGAAACTGGATTACTTTAACATCAATGACTTACAAAACTACATATTTTTGGGGTCATTTGCCGCTACGTAAACTTAAAGAGACATTTCCAAAACAGGAATAATGTAGGATCTCTACCCCCTTGTTATACATAACTATAGTTATACAATATTGTACAACTATAGTTATACATAACCTATAGGTTTGACTTTTCGTGCAATTAATTGGTCCTTATACCATGAATTTCCTTTTTATATATGACAAGCGGTAATATTCTTATCTGGACTTTGTATACTGTATTCTAAATTTAATCTCTGAGCAAGTCTCAGTAGGTCCGTTTACTTATCTACTGAAAGTCAGTTAATTTTTTCAAGCAGTATATTTCTGGCATAATCAATATAATTGCAGGGGTATTGTCTCATGAATTCCTTGAATGTTCTCGAAGAGATCGCCATTGTTAGACCTGTCCAGTTTCAAAAGAAATACACTGAATTTAAACACAGGTCAAACAGATGAAAACAATATTTCTTGGTATGGTGGAGAAGATTTGTAGCTCACGTGGATGATTTTGGTGGGGAACAAAACTCCCCCCAAAAAATATTTCTTGGCAGATCATCGTATTGTTTTTTTGTGATGCTTGATCTATCGCCTTATAATAGTCTAACTAGGTCTGCATCAGTTTTGAATTTCCACAAAGCAGTTTATTTCAAGGAGTCGTTTGCCTTCAATCCTCTATTTGTTTTCATGACATCCAAACAAGTGTTAGATAAAGACACCAATCTGGTGTGCTCGAGTTCGGGTATTTCTCATAGAACTCTTGGCGTTTCTAAGCTGTCAAACTTAATTATTTTATTGTCTTCTCACCGATTAAGAAACAGAAGCGTTCAAAAATTCTTTCGAATACCGAAGGAATATGGGTTGGACTAGTTGGTCTTAGCATATCGAGATTATAGGGTGGAGAATAAGTCAGAATTAATATGACTTCACCGGACTGTTTGGTAATTTTGATTGCCACTCAGTTACTTACTGCATGTATTTGATATTGCATATAACTACATTTACGTTGCTTAGATAAATACATTGGTTTTCGTTACTGTCGTTCTGATCGTGTTCTTCTTCTGTGTGGATATGCAGCTCGACTTCTGCTACAACAAGATTTTAATATTTCATCCGACAATGAGGTTATTCGCAACATTATCCAGAACTATATTGCCCTTCACCGGGGATGTGCAGTATATCTATAACCAACTAAGAAATACTATCAAGCTACCGGGACCCTAGAGAAGAGCACTGGTTAGGTGATGGGTTAAGTAAAAATATTACTGTTTCACTATCTCTGAAAATGAATTTTAGACATACTACCAAAGTACTGAATGTCCACCCACCGTTGTTGTTACCTTCTTGTGATGGTCGGTCTTGCCTAGCGTGATGAACCAATTGGGCTATACTGGCTGGGATATTCGTTCCTCAATGTCCTATAATGTCAAGCAGATAGGTTGAAAAACAGTAAGACTAAAAGCAGCAAACTTAAGGTCCAAAGGTGAAGCAGTACTGCTGACTGTACAGGCGTGATGAAAGTAAGGCGTTTTCCCCAGACAGCCAGCATAACAGCGATGCTGCCTTCCCACAAAGGTAGAGTGTGGTTATAAAAGTTTGACCCTAAAAATGCACACCTCGCCTTATCCCACGGATATCCATCTCTGGCAGTAAAATTCCAACAAATACGGAACTAGCACAAAAATTAACCACAAAAAGGTCGTGTGTGACTGGCCTTAAGCAGTTGTGCCTTGGGCACTGCAATCACGCTCTCAGATCACCAAGACCAACTCTAACCCAATATCCTTTTCAAGTTCCTCTAGAAGAACCCTTCTACGGTGTGCGAAACTGGGGAGTGATAATTGTCCTCATACCTTTAACAACAAATAGATCATATTGCTATCAGTTATCGTTGAAGAAGCTCTATAGAAGGCAGCCACTCGTTCTGGAGTACATACTTAGACTCTGATCACGCTCTAATACGAGCACGCACCCCATCTGACTGATCGTCCCAATATATAGGAAAGAATCAAAATCATTCTGTGATAACCATAGACGGATTAGTTTAACTAATATAGCATCTACATTAATTATCCGGCACCTGACAAAGACTCGTTAACTGTAAATACGAGAAAATCAGGGGAGTGATGGCAAATCAGTCGATGAGGTTGTAAATCTTCACCGACTGAGATGATTAGGCTACGTGTTATGTATGCCTGGACACGGGCTATCACTGAATGGTGTTGCAGACGGACGGAAGAAAGTTAGGGGCGGCCAAACCAAAAAGTGGCATCAGTCCTTGAAGTCAATAACTTCTGATCTGAACCATGCTGGTAGATTCAGATTACTTGGTTGGAGTCCGCACAACTATCGTAATCAATGGTTGGAGACCCTGGGTGACATGACTGAGAATCGACTACAATGGCATAGGTTTATACACTCTTTGTCTTTCCTTAAACCATGAGATTAAACTTGCTTTATACCTTTATTTCTACGAACCAATTCTTTCTCCCTACATCATATCCTTATATGCAATATTTTTATATATTAAGACCATTAAAGTAACTGCTTTTATGAATTTGGTGTTCATCTTGTTGTGCTGATAAGGTGTGGCAACTTGGACCGATGTATATATGTGCCTGGTCCTACGTTGTAGCTGACCGCCTGACTGTTACTCAATACAACTAGTCATAAAAAGTTAAGCGATCGACCCCAAAGATGGGGATCTCACTACAGTCAAAAAGGAACATTCGTGTTAACACTACAAATTCTTGATACTACGACTTTAAAGTCGTCCCAAAATTGGACGCAGCTGAAATCAAATATAATCGCCATAGTTTTGCCATCCAGGAAAATCAAACGTCAGTCAGTCAGCTACAACGTAGGATCATGCGCATATATTCATCGGTCCAAGTTACCATACCTCATTAGCACAAGATGAACACCGAATTCATAGTAGTTAATTTAATGGTGGTAATATGTAAAAGAAAGATTGCATATAAGGATATGATGCAGGAAGAAAGAATTAGTACGGAAAAATAAAGGTATGAATCAATTCTAACGGAATACGATACCAATATTAATATACAATCATTGAACAGCAAAGTCATTAAACCAGTTTACTCACAAATGGTCCTGTGTTTCTCAGGGTATCACAGCCCACTTTACAGCGTTTTAACCGCGTAAAACCATTAACGAAATCATACCCGACCAACCGATGGAATTCCGAAGCGAGCAAACCATAACTAAGTTCTAAAGCCCTCATGTACCTGCCCCAAACAATTTCGAGAAACAGTAACGCCCATTAGTATATCAATGCTGTTATTCAGAATCGCAGTGACCGTCCTGTGTATTGTAAAATTTAATAAAAGTCAAACCTTTACATTAATTTTACACTTCAATATTTTTATTATCAACAACAGGCAGCATAAGGTAAAACTTAGAGTAATACTCGTTAACACTGAACACTGTGCCTATAAAACATCTATCAAAAGTTATCACATCAAATTACTACTTACATTATCTTTCCTCCTTCGACAACTTTTTTTTAAGCTTATCACTAATATCACGGAAAGAAACTTGCGTTGCGATGTCATACAATTTTTCAAGGCATTTTTCTGTGACAGTTGATGATTAAAAGCGTGGTAATGCTCCTAATAATTAAGAATAAGACGATACGGTCTTACTTTGTTTGCTATCATGAAGCCTGCAGTTTTGAAGATCTCTTAGATGTAGTGCCAAATAGTGTTAAGTAGCTGGGCACTTCAGTTTTCATGACGTATGGAAAAATATGGCGCATGGAAGTTTTTGAATGATTATCTATTAACCGCCTCACTATGACCATCTGAAATGTAAATTAATAGCAAAAAAACTTAGTGAACTTAAAGATTCCTCCTTTTTTATTGTTGAAGACACGTATCCGATGTTCTCAGTTCCTCAGGTGATAAAGAGGAATGTGGACTTGGTAATCTGATAACAAGTCTCCATAGATTATCACGCGCATTTGACTTAGACCGTTGCATGAATTATTATTTGTTATTTATTTGAACAGAAACATTGGTACAAAGGAGGCACCAAATACATATGCTCCACACAATAACAATGAGGCTGTGAAGAAATAGAGAATGTAACGTGTGTATAAGAAAAAGGAGAACAACAACGAGCATAAATTAGTGTATGAGAATAAAATAATAATGAGAGATGCAATTTAGTTAGCAGAAATACAACCAGAAAGAATTCTTTCAGTTAAAGAAGTTACGTTTATCTCTCATAATTGGACTGGTAGCTAGACTTGAACCTAACTCGGTTTGATATTTAGTTGCGACAGAAGCTGTAACCAACTTACTGAAATCAATCCGCTTAAGATGATAAATTTTTTAGCCACTAAAATGTAAGGTAAGGTTAGCGCAAACAAGGGCATGATCAGAGTCCAGATAGGTACTCCAAAAGCAATGGCAATCTTGTACACAACCACACCAGCAGTAGCTGATCGCGGTGTGGTCAATCTGGGTTCAGGCTTGAGATGCAGAGGGAGGACGCCAGGCAGAACATCGGCGATGACTATGCCGGCATTTAGTGCTAGCCAGAACCAGGTTTTGGTCTGCTCACAGTTGTAGTAGAAGGTCACTGTTATCTGATCTACGATCAACAGGCCCCCACTGACCACCTAAAGGACTCTAGTCTACGCCTAGACGCCCGACCTGAGCATTCAAGTCTCCGGCTAATACTACAATATCTGTTGAACGCACTTTCTGTAGAACATTTGGCTAGTAGTAAAACCCATTCTTGATCGCATCCAGGTTGCAATCTGTCGGAGCATAGGCGGAGACGATGGAACGACATCGTTTCTCACACGGATTTCTCGCTTTGATGGAACTTTCTAATCTAACAGCACATAACGGATTGTTAATGGGATCCAACCGATCAGTGCTGTCTCAGCTCTAGCGCTTAGTGCGACACGAACGCCAGCAAAACCAGACGGAGATACCACAGGGTCCCCGGATAAACGCACGTAAAACAATCTTTTTAAAGCGACAGATGGAGAGCGAATTTGTAGTACTTCACTAAAGTCTTGAATACGGGTCTCGGTAGACAACAGATATCGATATTAAGACTTTCTAAAGACAGCCAGCCCTATGTGTTGTCCGATCTCCATTAGTGTGCGAACATTGAAGGAGGCCAGTTTGAGTGATATACGTGGTTTCAGAAAGACTTAGTATTCGTAGTCGGTGGTAGCATCCAACTTTCAACCGGTCAGTAACTCGAGATCGTTTAGATAGGACAGGGCTAGCTGCTATATAAGCATAACATTGGCACTCGAGCCTAATACTGCTGATGACATGCTCTGCGTAACAACATGTAGTTTTGCAAATCTAGAACAGACTTGAGTTGTCAATGTTACTTGTTCGGCCGAGAACCTACTACCAACAGGTATAGACGCGGAGGTTGACGACAACGTTTCAACTTATGTAGAATTTATCTAATTCGTTCATAAACATCTTTTGTCTTAAATTTAGCACACACATGTACTCCCATCAGTAAAAGTTGGATGATGTTCGCGTACTCTCGGATTAATGTTGTAAGGTCTATTCCGTTAATAAGAAGCTATGTTGGTTCGTGCTACTTAAGACTTTTTACGACTAAGTCAGATGCAAATGAATCATCAGAAAACTGCGTTGGTAACATATGCTTATTTTTAATCTAGTATTTTAGTTTCTGATTTTCCACTGCTTAGTGAAGCTGTGAATGCAAAAGACTTTGAATTAGTATCGAAAATAGTTGTGGAACAGGTAATGAACAAAAATACATTCATTTAACATTTGTTCATGTTAAAGGATCCCTTTGAGGTTAAACGCATACGGATCCCTATAGAAAATTCAAAGTCCTCTCCTAATCTTATTCCTTCACAGTCACACAGGCGAATGGTTGGATGCATCTGTAAGTTGACCTTAGCGAATGCTTGTTGGTTTTATTAAGTTCATTTTTCTCTTTTGTATTAAATTATATGATGTAGTGCGCAATCCACAGTTCTGATTTTTCCTAATACACCTGTTACATAGGATATTAGAATATATTTTGAATGCAAGATTAACAGTTTTGCGAAGTCAGACGAGTTAGTGGCAAAAAGATGTTAGAAGACTACAGATGTCCGTAAAATTATGTATTCCAAGCATTTTTCACATATCGTAAGATCTATTGAGTGACAAAATTACAGAAGCCTTAAGGTAGTCGGACCAATAAATGATCACGGTTCTTGGAGCTTTTAGAACTTGTCATAGCTGTGTAAAAGTTTGTTGGCTAGATGGTCGCTATGGTTAAAGGATGCAAAGAGCTTTTCTAAAAGAAACTAGCAACAACGTGGATGGACCTACTTGTTATCTTTTTGTTGGGAGTTCAAATTGTATTGTCCGCTTACTACTTCCTGATCTTAAACTAATGTTCGTTTTTCAATATATTCATACTAAATACAACTACATCTATTTAGAACTGGGTGTAGAGTGAAGGGAAGATTTCAGCTTTTATTATATTGGTTTTCTACCAATTAGAAAATCCACTGTTGCTCAAATATTTATTCGAATTTTCATATATTATGAGACATTTATCCCACAGACAAAAATTTTATTTGTCTAGAATTTTTTGCCTACTAGCTATATACTAGTCAGACGTGAAGCACTCTAAAGCAGATAATGCGTTTAAGATTGGTTTCTGTACGAAAGCTTATTTGACACATTTTATGACCTCAATGTTAGTTTACTTGTAAGTGCATTAGTGAGTTAGTAATGATGATATCACTCCCTGTTGTTTTTGAAGATAAGAAGTGTAGAGTGTATTCAAAACATAGTCAGACACAACAATCCTACATACTATAACATGATAATTTTTGTGTGCATCATGAGAAGGCATAATTTCTGTCTTGAAAAACACTCACATAACATAACAGCTACTATCATAAATGATAACAAGGCTAGTAAAATGAAGAATGATACTACAGTTTTTGTATTAATTAATTTGGATTAATAAGCAACAGTAATCACATGAGTATTGCCTTAGTGAGAGAAGCGGTATAGTTGTATCCAAAAACAGTAATCCGCTCAAACAGTTAGTGCAGTCAACGCAGTTAACATATAACCTGATATAGATAATAAAGATAGTAGTCTAAAATTAATAAACTGGTCTCCCGCCTGTTTCTAAAAATGGCATTTTCAACTGCCCTGTAAAAACGGCTATTAGTTATTTTAAATCCCATCATAACTTAAACATAGTACTTTTCGGGTATGGTTAGACGAATAAATGTCTCCGTAAATTAATTTATAGCTAAATATTAAACACGCCTTGACGGATTAGATAAAGCTAAGGTATATTCTGAGGTTTACTGAATTTTTTGAAACTTACGATCATTTTTTTTCCTTAGGTGAACCGGAAGCGGACTCTATCAATTGGCTAGAATTAGAAAAAGGCGATCCAGTTCAGTGTTATTGTGGCCACTGGTTTAAATTAGTCAATTATGAAGACTACTTTAATATGACTAATCAATAAAACTGTTCATAAATACGTTCTAATCTATTAGTTTAATTTGCTACCATATTCAGTATAATATTCATTGCCGTCTTTGAATAATTGAAAACTGTGTCTTACTATTCAGTGTAATGATAAATGCCAAAACTGAACTGCGTAAAAATGATTCTAATTTAAGTAGTATGTACTCCAAATGTATTTATCTTTCTGTTGGTTATCCTATTGAGTAACTTGCTTACTAACTTGTCGAAAGTGGATAAGATAGCACCAAATATATACAAATACTGGCCAAGAACTTTAACAGAGGAATCTGAAGCCCAAAAAGTATGGTCGGTCGTAAGAATTCTACACACTGCTGTATTTATCTTTACTAAAATTGACGTCATAATGTTTCCCTATTCAAAGATGGGTGAAATATTTCTCACAAATATTGGAATTTCAAGTTTCATGATGGATTTGTAAATATATTACTGACCTGTTAGTACTGACATTACTCAACGTTGATGTCACTGTTATAGGTCGAAATTTAACGCGGTCAAAGTGTCCTGTGTGTTAATAATTTAGTACATAAATAATAATTTCGACTCACCCAATAAAAGAAGCTTGTAATTGTTTTACAGTACTTTACGAGATGACCTGGAGGAATACACTTGTATTTACTATTCACTTTTTGCAGTTGAACGAGAGTCAGAAGTAAACAATTACCTTTAAGGATATACATGTTATACATGAATATCAGTGCAGTGAAGGAGGCACCCAATATATATGCACCACACCAGTAATTCAATTTGTGTGAGGGCTGGAACACTGCCCGGGCGCCCAGTGGGGCTGCTCCCCGAGCTTTTGACTTGGAGCTCTAATCGACAAGGCAGCTGAGCAACTTTAGACGATGTAGTCCCATGGCATCCGGTGACCTACAATATGCCACAGTTTCCCTCAAGACCCCATGTGCATCATTGGTTCGGAACCAGGGTTCTCAAATAATGAGGCGCCAAATACATATGCGTCACACAAATCTCATTTGATTTGTGTGAGGGCTGTGATACTGCCCGGGTGCCCAAACCGAAGCAGGTGGTTTGCTTAGAGGGCCACTCCCCGGGCCTTCGACCTAAAGGTCTGACCCACAAGGCAGTGGAGCATCGTGAGGGGATGCAGTCCCATGGTAGCCGGTGACCAACGATTGGTTCATACGCCATTTGTTCCTTCAGGACCCTGGAGCCCATGTGCACCATTGATCTAGTTTGGGGTCCGGTTAAAGCGCCGGACATTCGCTTTCCGTCCTCTCATTTTCGTAAACAACAGTAATGCCGCGAGAAGGCAGTGAGTAGGACTTCCCTGGCATAGGCTATATACGCGTGGCCATGTGGGAGCATTTCGAGAGGGAGAGAGGACTCTCCACACTCTCGGCCGTACCAGGGCATTTGGGGGGTTCTCAAACTCCCCTAGGTGGATCCTCCATACTCACCACGGGAACTAACATCTCAAAAGAGCCCAGTGCAACCAAGTTAGAGGTGGGACTCCAAGAAATATCAGCGAACTTTTTCTGAAAACCTTTATCAACATAATTTAAGTAAGATTAGTTATTCACAGGGACAGTAAAACGTAGCATATGAGTCGGTCCGAGTTATCACTTTACTTCAACACTTCAAGAGTGGTGTCCGCTAGATGTGAAATCTTATTACCTACGAAGAGAAGCTGGATGTTAGAAACATAGAGTTCAGAGGAGAAATGGGGATTATGGAGGGACTTTACACTCAGGATATATGAATGAATTTACGTACAATGAATTTATCTATACATAATTCCGGACTAAAACATCCAAATTCTCCAGAAATGAAGTAGGACTACTGCGATTTCAAGAACTCTTCACCTACGGATACGGCTTAAATCGAAAACACATTTCTTAGATTATGCCCTTAAATTCTGTCCAACCTTCCATGACCAAATCAACTATGCAGAATATTGTAAAATAGCTTGTAGTGTCGGTTATTATTTTAAGCCCATATACCTTATTCTAGCTTTCGAACAGCCCAATCTATTCATCCTACTTAAGTCATATTTTGACCTTGTTAGTCATTCGCTTACCAATCTCGACTGTTTTTATGTGAGCGCATATGTGTGTACATTTCTTATCCCATTCATTTCATGTTCGTAGCTTAATTTTGTGTGACTATAAGTATTGATTAACGCTCGACTAAATAGAGTCGGCTTACCCGCCATCTCTACTGCGCGTCGTCTCGCTTCCCTCTATTCCATTCGATTCATATAAAAAATACATGTATTCAAAAGTCCATTTTCGTTATTTGACTTATTTAATTCCGTTACTGACTAACGCCTCACTACAAGCTCATCGGTCCAGAATCCAAGGAACCATAATAACAGGTGGTAAATATAAAATGCGACATCACTGTGTAGGTACATAACTAATTTTGATAGCGGAACAGTTAACCTCGCAATAGGCTCGACAGACGTTTATGTGCTGTCAGACTAGGTCCAATGGGAGTTTTCACAGATGACGATACACACTGTTGTCTCCTCACCATGCTGACTGCAGCATGGACAAAATAGAAGAGCTCTATCAGAAGCATCCTGACCCAAACACTCGGAGATAGTAATCATGGTTGATTTTAAGGCCCGAGTAGGTGGGGAAAGTGAGAGGCATGTAGAAAAGCATTTTGGGATCCTAGCTGAGCGGATAGGTAACGGTGACCGCCTGTCACGATCGTGTATTCTTAACATGCACCGACCTTAAGCATGAGCAGAAACACTGCATGACCTGGAGATTACTGGTACCATTATGGCAGTAAATGAATGTAATTGGAGATGTTCGGTTTAAGACCAGTGGTCTCTCGACAGGAAATGTCTAGACTCTAAAATTGCCCTAGTATGAACTTGTGTGTCGGCCTTTGGAAAGAAGTGCAACGAGACCTTAAAGGGTAAATACTGTAGTGTCAGTTATTATGTTAAGCCCATATATCTTATTCTAGCTTTCGGACATCCCATTCTATTCATTCTACTTGAGTCATATTTTGACCTTGTCAATTATTCGCTTATCAGTCTTGACTGTTTTTATATGAGCGTATATGTGTGTACACTTCACATCATATGTCTGTAGCTTATTTTTGTCTACCTAGAAATATTGGTTAACGCCTGACTAAAAATGAGTTGGCTTCTCAGCTATCTCCACTCTGCATCGCTTCTCTTCCCGCTATTCCATTCACCTTGTATACAAAATATATGTATTCAAAATTCTATTCTCGTTATTTGACTTACTTAATTCCGTTATTGACTAACGTGATTAAAGTCGATGGTATACGAGAATCGGCGATAGCAAACATCCATACGATCTAAACAGGAGTCAGATACACGCGCCTCTAAAATACGTCAAGGTAAAACTAACCATATAAAAATGTTTATATTGAGGTAGCCTAGGATGATCAACAATCTGCCGTAAAAACAGCAATGAAATCCATTAGTGACCTGAATCAAGAGACGATTTCAAACAGTCTAGACCTTATGTATTCGCGATGTTACCAGCAAATATGAATAAGCACTGGCTGTTTCTGAACTTTATTCTTACCCTTAATTATTCATTCGTTCAGTGGTTACTTTGGCTGAGCAATTGTACATAAATAATGACTAGTTTCGTAACATATTCTCGTTATCAGCTGGTCAGAGGTTCTTTCTTCTGAATTTTTTTCTTTTAGTTTTAGAGATTGGTTTAGCAAGCAAATTATTTGTTCGACCACTCAAATATTTTATCACACTAACTGGGTCATTATAAGAAAAGCGATATCGTCGCCTGTTTTTTAATCATACGGAAATGAAAGCCTTAACAGAAAATATAACCCATCCAGTGCCATAATGCTTTCAAACCATAAAGTATAAACTTGGTTCCTCTACAACTCCAACTGTAGCTTTTCTAGGGCTACTGCCGGTACCAAACCCGGGTAAAGGAGGAGCGTTGAGCGTCAGATCGGCAACCCCATCCAGCAGAAAACAACCTCGTTAAAAGGCGCTACCCCCCTAAAAAATATTTAAACTCTGCCCTCCGAGTCGAAGGATTTCCGTTCAGAAGTTATGACGCCTCATGGCGAAAGCCAGGATTCTTCAGAAGTCACGAGGACAATACTCCTTCTAACAACTAGAGCCACAATTAATATAGGTAAATGGAATGTCCGGATAATGTGGGAGACCGGGATGACTAATCGAATGGCTAGGAAAATGAAGAGATACAAGTTGGTGGTGCTCGGAATCAGTGAAACCAGTTAGATTCAAGCTGAACAGAGAGGGTTAAATTCAAGGGAGATACTGCTGTACTCCGGCCATGAAGAGGAAAATGATCCACAGACGCAGAGAGTTGCTCTGACACTGTCTAAAGAAGTACTTACAGTACTTGTGAGATGGGGATCTCATAAATCTAGAATCATCAAAACATCCTTCAAGACAAGGAAAGAGGAAATAACAATGAAAGTTATGCACTCACCAGTGATAGCAATGACGACGACAAAGTCCAGTTTCACGAGAGGCTGCAATTGGTCGTAGAGAAGTGGACAGCTTGGATGCGACTAGACGATTTGGACCTAGTTCTTCTATCCCATACACTGCAACAAATGCAGGTAACGACAGCCAGTGTAGCAGTAAGCCAAGACATACACAAGGGAAAAAGCAAGATCCTCAAATACAGCACAGAGAACATCAACCTAAACACACTTGGTGAAGTTCCGGAAGAGGTGGAAACTTTCATTTACCTGAGCAGCATCATAGATGAACAAGGAGGATTCGGTGCAGACGTAACGGCAAGGATTGACAAAGCAAGGACAGCATTCCTACAGTTGGAGGGCATATGGAACTCAAGGAAACTATCCGCCAACATCAAAGTCAGAATCTTCAGTAGGAACGTTAGGGAAGTTCTACTGTACGGAGCTGAAATTTGGGGAACTACTATAACTATAATCAAAATAGTACAATTGTCTACGCAAGATACTGAATGTCCGTTGGCCGAATACCATCAGCAACAGCTTACTACGAGAGAGAACAAACCAGCTTTCAGCTCAGGTAGAAATTAAGAAAAGACGCTGGAAGTGGATAGAACACATCGAGTAAATCACTAAACTGCATCACGAAGTAAGCTGTAACCCGGGAATCCTGAAGAGAAACGGAAAAGACGAAGACCAAAAAACACTGCGTCGGGAATTGGAAGCAGACATGAAAAGGATGAATAGCAACTGGGAAGGATTGCCAAGGACAGAGTTCAATGGAGAATGCCGGTGGACGAGGGGTAACAGGTATAAGTAGTTCCTCCATCAAAAAAAACATTCTACATAATTTGTCATTAGCTGGGTATAGTTAAGATGTAAGAGCGATTCAATACGTAAGGACTATAATCCTGACCCACTCATGCATGAGGTCTGCCTTGAGACTATCTCTGGTAAATCTTCAAGTCGTAGTGTCAACATATCTTTACTGTTATTAATGTAGTAAGCATTGTAATTTCGTAATGGTATTTTGAGAAAACTGATATTTGTTACTAAAATGGGGATATTATTTAAATAAAAGTGTGATTGTATTTACAGTGGTTTATTTCTTGTAAAACCATCAGGTATTTTACGCTTGCACAAAATCCTCCAAAAGTAGTTGGTGAATTATGATAATAAACAAGATTGATAAAAACTAGAACTTGGTATTCGTATGATAGTAAACAGAAAAGTTTTGTACATTCTGTCGGTTATTAAAGCGATATCATGGTCAATTATGGTAAAACTTCTAATAACATTAATGGAACGAATATACAAGGCAGACATCTTATTCAAGAATGATGAAATATAAGGTACCACGGGAATTGTTAGAAATGAAAAGAAATATGCACAAATACTAGGTCGTAGGTCCAACCAGAAACCCTGGACGTTTACCAGGCCATGCTTCTTTGGCGTACTTCTTCTTCTTAGGATAATTTGCTTCAACAAGACCCATATCTAGTCCAGAATCCTGATTAGCACCTGAAACACCATCCAGTTCATTCGAAGTCCCTAATATGTCACTGGCACTCAGTCTAGATACACCCGCAGTATTTTTTCCTTCTGAAAAAGCATTTCCTAAAGTCCCAGGTCTTGAATGTGCATAGGCATGAAGCATTGCTACAGTTGGTGGTAAAGTAGGCTCTTGAGGTTCGCTTTCAACATCTGGAGCAAGATTAGGCACAGGTAAACCAAGCTTAGAAGCCAGACTGTAATGAGGTCCAAATATGTTTTTCATGTGCATCAAACTTCTTCCTGAGTTATGAACAGAGTTATTCCCATCTACATTATTTTTTCCAGTTGTTCGAAAAGTTTCAGGTAGGTCTGGAGCTGCAACACCTAAGCTAGCACCTTCATGACTGCCTTTAGCACGCTTTAAATGACAGAAAAAATTTAATACAATATAGGATTTACATGTGCCTTGGAAATTTGAAAAGTATTTAAAATGAGTCCTTAAACATTGAAATATCTACTACAATCATATACAAAAAGCAATAGCATGAAATTACTGCCAATATATATATGGTTTTGCCTGCTCAATTGTAGACAGTAATACCGTATTTTAAAACTGCACAAGGCTTTCATCTATTTGTTTGGGCAAGGTAAATTAACCACCTGGTGTCTTTTAATTGAGGCTGGATTGTTAAGGAAAGTAGTTTAGGGACCTTAAACCTATGTTTTGTATTTTATAGTAATTATCATGAAAAAATGATGGAAATAAGTATGAGACAAATATTCCACTTTGGATGTCGATTTTACTATTAGCTTCCAGTGTGGTATGGGAATATTGGAGAAATGCTTAGACATCACTTGCTAATAGTATTTCATTATTGGGATAAATTAAAACAGAATGACACGAATCATTACCTCGTACATAAATCTGATAAATTAGACCGACTAAATTCCCTACGAAAATAGAGACAACGAAGAAACTTTGACATTTAATCGTTACTAAAAATCGGTAGTCATAATTACCTTATTTGGTATGAAAGTCTCCTGTATAAGATTTCGGAATCTTCCAATAGAAGGATCAACATCCTCAGGATTAATAACTTCATCTGCGTCACTGAAATGCACATTTTGCAGTGGTCTCTTACGTGCTTTGTTAGTAGGAATTGTAGGATTAGAGGCAACATCAACCATGCTACTTATACGACGGTTATGTGCTGTGTTAAACTCGGTTAAATTATCCAATTCAACCTCGGATTGAGGAAGCTGAGAGTAGAGTAAACCCAAAGAATTTGTGGCCGCATCAGACCCATCCAGATTGCGATTTTCTGGACCCATTGTACCATTGCCATCTAGTGCTTGCGAGTTCGGGTCCGAAGGATTTCCAGAAATATTGTACAAAGGATTAGGACGTTCACGGATGATATAAACACGAGTAGATGCACCAAAATGTATTTCAGAGTCGATTGGAACCTATAAATAAAAACAATTAGTTTATCGACTACGTACATTAAAAAAAGTTTTAAGATCACAGTAAGTTTTACACTTAAACTCGGAAAATGGGGGTAGATTCTGATGTAGCCTGTCGTCACGTATGCTTATGAGAACCGGTTTCAGTAAGCCAATAATTTCAGACGGTGATTTTTGGAAGCTTGGCACTCAGATCAATCAACAAGCACACTGAAATCGATCCAATTTATCAACCAATCAGGAAAATTATGCACAAACATAGGAACAAAAATGAAACCAATGGGAGGTACAACCAAAACAAAGAAGTAAACAATGACAGGTTTAAGGTCAACAAGAACCGATCAACATCGAGGTTTACAGGACAAGCTGTGAACCACATGTGGAGAAATTCGAACGCTTCACTTCTATCTGAATTTTGTGCTGATGTCGTTCAGAAGAATGATGAAAGCCCCACGACCAAACCATCCAGCTCAGAGAACAAAACTCTATCAAAATCATCCACCTTAGCTACAAATCTTCACCATTCGACCATAAACTCATTAAAAACATTTCTCACATTTGATGATAACATCGTATAAGTGGAACAGAGGCTTGGTAACGATCCATGGGGATAGAAAGAACTATAATTCAATAAGCTTTTAGCCCGAAATACTGTTTTCAGTGTCTTGAAAAAGTAAAAACCCAACAGAATGTGTATTGAACGGTACTTTATATTATTCGTATTGAGAGGAAAAAAGAAAGTCACTTAGAAGTATGGGACGAAGGATAGTTATATTAGGTTAGTATTCGGTGTTTCACCAATATTTGCTGACCGTCAGTCAGTCTCAATGTAGAGAGCCTGGTACTTATGTAAATCGCTTCATGTTGCATTACCCCATTAGCAGAGATGAAATTATCGGGCCAAATCCCAGAACAGTAGAGGTAGTAACAGTATCAATGGTGTTTGAAAGGACTGGACATCAAAGATACGATTCAAGAAAATATAAATCAACGAGATAAAAACACAAAAAAAGTTGTGAGGAAATCGGGATCTCAAAATTCAGAGGAAGACAAAGAATGGATGCAAGCACGCTGTCGCAGATGAACGTGAGACATGTCATTTAAAATCTCTAACCATTGGTTATGATAATCAAGCAGACCCCAACCAGGTAGTATATACCTATTACCATATCTCAGTCAGTAACGACATAGGACCAGGCACATATATGCATCGGTCCAAGTTGCCACACCTCATCAGCACAACAAGATGAACACCAAATTCATAAAAGCAGTTACTTTAATGGTCTTAATATATAAAAATATTGCATATAAGGATATGATGTAGGGAGAAAGAATTGGTTCGTAGAAATAAAGGTATAAAGCAAGTTTAATCTCATGGTTTAAGGAAAGACAAAGAGTGTATAAACCTATGCCATTGTAGTCGATTCTCAGTCATGTCACCCAGGGTCTCCAACCATTGATTACGATAGTTGTGCGGACTCCAACCAAGTAATCTGAATCTACCAGCATGGTTCAGATCAGAAGTTATTGACTTCAAGGACTGATGCCACTTTTTGGTTTGGCCGCCCCTAACTTTCTTCCGTCCGTCTGCAACACCATTCAGTGATAGCCCGTGTCCAGGCATACATAACACGTAGCCTAATCATCTCAGTCGGTGAAGATTTACAACCTCATCGACTGATTTGCCATCACTCTTTAATACTCTGCGTCTGACCTCACTATTACTTACCTGGTGATTCGAGCGGATGCGAGATATCTTTCTAAGACATCTGTGATCAAATACTAGTAACTTACGGGTATTCTCTACTCTTAATGACCACGTTTTGCAGCTGTTAAGTAAAACAGAACGAAATGCTGCGCAGTGCACTCGTCCGTTAATTAATTAATTAATTTATTTTATTTGAAGACATATATATTGGTACAGGATTGCGCCAAATATATATGCGCCACACAAAACAATGAGAATTTAAGAAGAAGAAAAAGAAAAAGGTGGGGAACGTAAAAAATATTAAAAAAAACAATAGCGAAGAGATTGTTGTAAGGTAGTGTAATAATAATAGTAATAGTAGGGGAACAGAAAGGTACAATCACAAGAAATCTTTCAGTTAAGGAAGATACAACCACGTTTTATGAAGAAAGTAAAAGAATGTTACAGCATGATCGCCACTGGCTTCTATTCTGAGCCATATCTGATAACGTCTCTAGCCACTGTGTTGTACCATCTCTTGGACCCCAACCAGGGAGTCGTGAAGGACCGACATAAGCCAGCCCTTTGCAGCTTTCTTTCATACCACGACACCATGTCATGCACTGACCACCTCTCCGCTTCTTCCAACCAGTCCCAGAGTCAGCAAATAATGCACGACGTGGAATTCTCTGGAACGACATTCGTAGAACATGTCCAAGCCACCGAAGTGGGTGTTTCAAGATGGTGACACCAATTGCAGTATCGTCTCTGTGCCCGAACACACGATGCCGAACCTCTGAATTACTAACATGATGTTGCCACTGGATGTCAGCAATCAACGATGATCGAACACAGAGAGTCGTCTAACGTCCTCAACTCGGAGAGGCCAGGTTTCACAAGCATAGAGTAAAACTGCTCTCACCGACGCGTTGTAGATCCGATCTTTTACAGCCAGACTAACATCACGAAGGCGCCAAAGATGGCCCAGATTGGCATAAGCCGTTCTAGCTTTCACTATACGTGCATTAATCTCATTACTCACACCCCCACCAGCACTTATGCAGCAACCCAGATACACGAACTTCTCGACTACTTCTATAGGCTCACCATCCAGAGTGAGTGCAGGATCAAGGTCCTGCCAGTCTTGTAGAAGTACTTTGCATTTCGAAGGTGCAAAGCACATGCCATACCTACGGACACTGATTGCCAACTGATTAAGTGCGGATCGCGTGTCTTGGGCATTATCGCACAGTAAGACAATATCGTCCGCATACTCAAGGTCAAGAAGTCTTTCTCCAGGCAACAGATCCACACCACCATTACTTACATTCATCAGAGCTGTTTCCAGAATGTCATCGATGGCAAAGTTGAAGAGGAATGGTGAGATTGGGCAACCCTGCCTAACCCCACTGCTCGAATAGGACAATGGAGAAAGGTAGTTGTATGCCCTCACTCTACCTGAGGTGTTTGTATATAGGGCTTTCAGGATGTTAATAAACTTCTCAGGCACACCCTTCTTCAATAGACAATCCCAGAGAACAGTCCTGTCCAACGAATCGAAGGCAGCCCTGATGTCAAGAAACACTACGATTGTTGGCCTTTGAAAAGTATGACGGTGTTCTAACATTTGGCGGAGGGTGAAGATAGACGGATATCTCGCTTTCGCCATAGGTGACGTAAGTTGGCAAAACCCGAACGAGCTCTCTGAATCTGTGCAGAGAGTTGGTTACCATATCTCAGTCCTATGGTTGATGACTTCAAGGACTGATGCCATGCTTTGGTTTGGCTGCCCCTCCCCTAGTACTCCATAGAGCAGCACAAATTTGTGTGTGGATTGGGATACTATCGGGTGCCTAAACCGAAGTAGGTGGTCTACGTAGGAGGCCACTCTCCAAGCATTTAACATAGGAGTCCAGTCCACGAGGCAGTGAAGCGATGTTAGGAGATAAGGTCTAATGGTAATTCAGCTTAGGTACATGTGGCAATCATGCTGTATACTTCATGTTTTTCAATAACTGTAAGAGGCATCGAATGAAACGAATGTAATATGATTTTACTGATACTGTTTATGTTATCTGATAAGCTCTACACATATACCTCGTTGCACCGATCATTTTTTGTTGTACATATAATGCTTAAAGACCTAAATGACATAACCTATACCAGACAACTGAGATTTATTTTATCGCATATCTTGAGTAACGTATCATTCTTCACTAACATATTCCTTATTTATCCACTCTCTTTTGCTGATTTTAAGTTTCATTTCTTTCTCGGTACATTTGTGAAGTATGACTGTCGCTCATTCTGGAGCACATGCTTAGATTCAGATCATGCTCTAGTACGAGCGCGTATCTGTCTGCGTCTTACTGGACGTAGGAAAGACGCTGCAAGTAAACCTTTTAGGGCCCTACTTAATGATAGTCAAGCTAAGAGTATATTTCAGGAACAACTAGGAAAACTGTTAGGCAGCCATGTATGTGATGCCCAACCCGAGGCAGCATGGAATGATATCCGAAAAGCTGTGGAAACGGCAGTGATATCTGCCAGTAAGGTAACCCGTAAGGTTAGGGAGCAACACTGGATCTCAGTAGCATCTATCGCATTGATAGATGCTCGGAAACTCATTCCACCTGGCTCTGAATATAATGAAGAGCGGAGTCAGCTTAAGCGCAAGCTGACAAGAAGTCTACGCAATGATCGTGAACAGTGGTGGGTAGCGAAAGCAAGAGAGATGGAAAAGGCAGCGGCAATAGGTAATAGCAGACAATTTTTCAGACTCGTTAAGGAAACCGACTGTTGGCGAAACACTCTCAGAGAAAGATGGACATATTATTCATTCTCAATCCAGGAGATTGGATCGATGGGCAGAACACTTTAGGGATCAGTTCAACTGGCCTTCAGCCACACTTCGGTTTCCCACGATCTCTAGTCAACCTGAATGGCAAGTTAATGTAGGTCCTCCGTCCCTTTACGAAGTTGAAAAAGCCATAGGAAATCTGAAGCGAGGGAGAGCAGCAGGCGGTGGTGGTTCAGTATTAGCAGTGAGATTAACTGAGGTCTTGGGTAGAATTTGGGAACTGGACGTAATCCCATCTGACTGGTCTCAATCACTGATTGTGCCAGTCTATAAGAAAGGACAAAAGTCTTCTTGCGACAATCACAGAGGAATCAGTTTGACTAATATAGTGTATAAAATATTAGCTTCAATAATACTTCGACGCCTAATCAAAGCTCGTGAAGAGCAGATTAGAGAAAACCAGGCCGGTTTTCGACCCGGACGTGGTTGTATAGGCCACATATTCACACTACGTCAGGTTCTAGAACACACACACGTTCAGACGCCCCACAATGGTAGTATTTCTCGACCTTAAGGCGGCATTCGACTCTGTCGACCGTAAGGTTCTATGGCAGTGTTTGTCACTGAAAGGAGTACCCAAGAAGTACATTAACCTTATAAAGACTCTCTACTCGAACACAACTGGTAGAGTGGGAGCTTATGGAGAACTGTCATCAGAATTGATTACCTCAAGTGGTGTTCGTCTGGGCTGCCCATTCTCTCCATCTTTCCTCAACTTTGTCGTCGACGTACTTTTAGAGATAACACTTTCCTCATCTAAATTTACAGGGGTTGAACTTCTACCGGGAAGTACACTCGTTGACTTAGATATGCTGATGACACAGCTCTATTTGGTGAAGACGCTGACAAAATGCAGAGTATTCTGACCACTCTAAGCAACAATGCATGTTCGGGATGCGATTCTCCCCCTCGAAATGCAAAATGTTGCTTCAGGATTGGGTTACATCGACACCCGAACTAGTGATAGGGAGTGAAGTAATTGAGTGTGCCGACCGCTTCACTTATCTTGGAAGTCTCATCAGCCCTTGCGGTCTGATGTGTGACGAAATCTCAGCACGGATACAGAGGGCTCGACTAGCTTTTGCCAACTTGCGTCATTTATGGCGTAGGCGAGATATCCGTCTACCAAACAAAGGACGGGTTTACTGTGCAGCAGTTTGTCTCGTCCTACTTTATGGCAGTGAAACATGGCCGGTAAGGGTGGATGATATTCGCAGGTTACTAGTATTTGATCATAGGTGTCTTCGAAACATTGCTCGTATATCCTGGGACCACCAAGTAAGTAATGCAGTTGGTACGAAGCGGGTACCAGGTAAGAATAGAAAATCACCTGATAAAGTAACGGAAGCTCATCAGTTGAGATGGCTGGGACACGTGTTACGTATGCCTAACAACCGATTACCTCGACGTGCGATGTTCAGTGGTATAGGAGTAGGTTGGAAGAAATCTAGGGGCGGACAGACCAAAACATGGCACAAGTCCATGAAGTCACTGACAAGTGGACTGAGCCATGTTGGTAAGTGTAGACTACCTGGTTGGGGGACCGCGAGATGATAGCAACCGATGGTTAGAGACCCTGAATGACATGGCTCAAAATCGTTTGCAATGGCGCAGGTGCATACACTCTTTGTGTTCTCCCAAATTTTGATCTCCTTATTCATCCTTGTCTCTTTTTTTTCTCTTCCCAAATTTATTTCACTGTATTATACTCTTTAAATAACATCTCCAAGCACTAATTTTCCCTATTACTGCTTATACTCTTCTACCTCTACCACTACGGGATTCGAATCGACCACTGCATCTCTGTGCTAATGTGGTGTGGCAACTCGAACTGATGTACGTACGTACGAAGCTCCACGTTGTTACTGACTGACTGACTGATGACAAATTAAACTATTGAACTCCTGTAAGTACCAATCTGAAACAGCCAACGTTTAATGACTTTACTTTTTGAAAATTATTGCCAGCATCCTAATCCCAATTTCAATTGCTAACACTATGATTGTATAATGATTCTATATTGAGAAGTTTTCCTAACAACTGACATAAGTTATGGAAGTAGTTCCCGTCTGTGTGGCATCTATAACTCGACAACAGTCTGGTTATATTGTGGAATAAGTGACTGGGTTAAAATTAGGAATACACACAAATATATATTCACAACCACTGCAGCACAAACACCACATTTTACATGGAACTGTCACAATAACGGTCGTCCATAAATTATAGTCTCACAACAATAACTTGTATAACATGGTAATGAGATAAAAGCCTTAACGTGTGATTGCAAGGTCAATATTTAAGTCGAAGCTTCGACGGCATCCGTTGAATACGAGCGTTTATGAACAGATCCAAACTTTTATATACATCAAAGTCGCTGATTACAAATAGTCGAACTTGTGAGCTAAAGTACGAAGAAACTGTCAAGTATTCTATGAAACTACGGTTACATAAAATAAATGTAAACGAAACGAACACTGGGAATCAAGCCTCCATGTTAAAAATATGCCAAACTAACTGAATGTAACAGGTGGGGAAGATACAAGTGTAGGCTCACGATGAGTTAATATAAAGAAATGTTGAATCTATTTAAGCTGGTTTATTACAGATTAAAAGGGGATGTGTGTGAAACGACTTATCTTATTCTAAGTAGGTTTGGACAATCTAAAGGACATAGCGGGCACGCTGGAAACTGAAGGGTGAACAAAATATTTGATGCAAACAGGTTTTCCCATCAGGTAACCAGCTCTTGCAACCTATTGGTGGAAGGATTGATATCCACATCTTTAATTGGCTTATACAGGATAAGACTGGATACTTACAGAATCTTATCAGAAAATAACTAACACAGACACTTGGGCTTCTGTTATTAATACACAAATCTAAATCCAACAGTTTCAGACTTGTTATAAAAGAAGGGACCAGTAGATGTAAGGTAGATAAAACTGACCTGCTGAGGTTTGTGTGGTTCCAACCTAATTTTCCCAATAAAAGTTCCATGGACACTTCCAAGGTCAATTAGGAACGCACGACTCAAGAATTTGTGCCATACCAAAACTGCATGCACACGTGAGCATGATTGATGATCCACGGCAAAGTCGCACAACTGCTTATTTCTACCAAAAAAATAACAGCTTTTTTCATCTATTATAAGTTTCTATGCTATTTAGCTACAGACAGAATACCAATTACCTGAATCAATTTCCCATCTTTGAGCACATCTAGATGAAGACCTGGCGGGGGTTTACCTGACCTAAATTTCAGAAAAAGTGTCAAAAGCTTTGTGGCAAAAGCTCTTACCAGTTAGGTATCTTGAAATTGTTAACTAGTAACTCATTTGGCCTAGAATTATTCATGAGAAAAATGAGACCGTAGCGATGTAATACATAAAGCCAGCCTCAGAACTATTTACGGTTGCTGTTCAACGTTCAATCCAAGTTATTCAGATTTGTGTGGTAAGGACAGGAGTTCTATGGCCTGTGTTATTCCTTCTCTAGTGCGTTTTTGTGAGTGTCTAGGTTTTTTTCTAAATGAGTTTATTGAAGGTAAGGGCAACACTACTTTGGGTAATGGATTCCAAGTATTGATGACTCGGTGTGTAAACCGGTATGTCACATGTGATTTGTTCGTTCTTGGCTTTTCTAATTGCACGCTATGTCCTCTGAATCGTATCAATCTGGTAGGAAGGAAAATAAAGGATATTTCAAGTCCATAATCATTTCTAGATTTTATATGCATGAAGTGTATGTAGACACACCTTGCTTCGTTGATAGGCATCAGCCACTCTTTAGGCCAATCAATCAGAATTCCTAAGACTCTTTGATGTGCGAATGCATCTGTGTCTCCTGTTATTTCTTGTCAGATTTTCACATCATCAGCGTATATTAGCACTGGGGGCTAAACCATACTTGGGAGCTCATTTACACACGGTATGAAAACGTAGACGACCTAGAACAGAATCTTGCGATATTCCATTAAGTACTGGTCTCCAGATGAAACACTTGGAATTTATTCTCACTTTCTGTCTACGACCTACTAGGAAATCTTTTAGCCATTTTAGATGAGTCCAGTCAGTGCCTAGATTTTGAAGCTCCGGGAGTAGTGTATTTGTTGGCATCTTGTAAGATGCTTTGCTGCATCTGTGTAGGCTACATCAACTGATTTCCCATTGTTTAGAACCTCTCTCTACTGCTCCTTTGATAGAAAGAGACTTGTTGTGTAAGATAAATCTTCTGTGAAGCCATGTTTTCTTCCGTTTAATAAGTTTTTAATTTCCACGAATGCCATTATTATCTTTTAGATCATTCTTGCCAGTATTTTAACTACGACACTGGTGAGACTAACAAGTCTGTAGTTCGGTAGAAGTTGTGTTGGTCTTAGTTTGTGTATTGGAGTGATAGTTGCATCATTCAGTCCGTAGGTAACTCACCTTGGTGATATGATTGAATATCGCAGTTAGTGAGGAAGGAATATATTGTGCAATTTGTCTCAAGATTTTGGGGTGTAGTTCATCCGGTTCTGTTGAATTTTTCTTGTATAAAATGCCAAAAGCCTAAAGTAAATTGTCCATATCAAAGTCCACGATTAGCTGACGTTTTACTGACTTTTATATTTGGGTCCAGCTCTTCGTCTAGAAGAGACTCATGGTTAAAAACTGTCTCCAAATAGTTTGTCATAGCCTCTGCTTTTTTGTGATCATTCTCTGTCACTTGAGATCCACTCTCTTCCGTAACTAGGTCGGGAATGTAATGCTGCACCGTTGCTCCGTAATTTATATGCGAGAATAGTCTCTTAAGCTGCTTGGTTACAAGACTGGGTTAACTGCATTTCATAGTCCCAATGAGCTTCCCGGATTTTAGTTATAACCTTATTTCTTACCGACCTGTAGTGTTTGGCATACTTGGTTTGCCAAGACTGATAGAAATGTTCTAACATTTCTTCTTTTGTCTTGGTAAACGTCGACTATCTCGGTCAATCCAAGGACGGCCGTGCCTCTTATCCTTTGGGACCGTTCAGGGCATATATGATTGAGTTACGTGGTTGCATAACTGCCCGAAATGATTCCATGCCCCTGAGTCGAAGATCCATTTTTCGGCTGATGCTACAGAGTTAATTGCTTTCATGTCTGCCATCCATATGCTAGGACGAACGACGCAACTATTCGACAGACCATTTCAGCCATAGACTTGAGTAGTCTGACAGAATGATCACTTCACCACAGAAGTAGGAGGAAAGTCCCTTGACCAACATCATCACCGTGTGTGAAGATTAAGCTCAAGAGAGATGAGAAGTTTTGTAGTTCATATCTGGTGGGATCAAATGATATTGTTGATAACCCTACTTATAAGTTTCCCCAGTTTACATATGGTGAATTGAAGTAGCCTATTGTAAAGCTTTCAGCCCCATTACACCGGGACTGATGTTTGTGTAGAAGGGAGTCATCTACCACAAATTATGGACTGAGGTTCACTACAACCAATTCAATAACTTACCACTTAAATTTCGGCCTGCGGTGTCCCAATTCACATCTCTCTGAGTCATGAGCACTGTCTCGACAGTTTGTATGGTTAAGGTACTTTTCGTGTATGGTATAACCCCACTTCTCCTGAGGTTTCATCTATCAGCTCCACTGGGAAGTACATCAATCAATTGAATTCTACTATTACACAATTTCGACGTTGACCATATTTGGGAGATGGCAATGACATCAGAGTTTTCTATGTCTACCGCTGTCTTGAGCACCGCCATTTTATTTTCTAGGCTGCAGGCATTTGAATAGCACACCTTCAGTTCTATGAAGGGCTTTCTTTTATCACTCAAAATGGTTTGAGGTCCATTTTGCTCTGAATTTGTACAATTGGAAGACCCTGAAGTAAAAGGTTTTTCTTACAGTTCGGGTAGAGCTCGTTTAGTTCTACATCTGTCGGCCGTCTCTCAATACGATCAACCCGCATGAGATCATCATGGATATATATTGCGGGTCCAGTTAGTTTGCGCGAGTTTTCCAGCATTCGGTTTCTTTCTTCAACCAAAGTAGAGGTGACTGTTAAGAGTCAGCATTTCTACGTACTTACAGAAACCACTTTTTGTCCAATTCTATAAAGCTTACAGATGCTAACTCTTGATACTGCTTCTGGAAGTTGCTTGCCTATTAAGAACTTGATTGTGACTTAGGTCGTGTTGAGATCTAGCCTTTGGTTACTTTTCGGAAGATTCTCTTAACTTATGAAGGATGACTGGCCTGCCAGCTTAGTCCTGCCTATAATTTATTTTTTTTGGATCAGGTTGTGGTTTATAAGTGTATAGTAATTTTGTTACTATAAGTAGTACTAGGAGATCCTGGGTGGAAACACACTTAAATTTTGTTTTGTTCTTTCTAAATAAGATTGGTAAAAACTCAGGTTAAAGGTGGAACAAGTGATTTTAGATTAAAATTTTCAGTAAAATCCATCATAATACACGAAATCTTGCGGGATGCTGAGCTCTTTTGAGTTCCGACCTAGCAAAAGGGGCTACCGCCTTTTCACTTCGTGTTGGAAATTTGGCAACTTAGTTATTCTAACCTCAAAGAGTTCAGACGAGTATTAAACGGTTTTTCGTGTACTGTCCCAAGTAGATATCCTACTTTGTGATGCTTAAGGTCGAATCATGGGTGGTAAATTGAGTTAAAAATAACCAAGTGGAATGAAACATCCTAACCATATATCCTATATCCCTTCATGTTGGGTTCACGACATTTGTGGTAAAATCTGACCAAGGTTAGTCTAGACCCATTTTAAATGCGTTTGCTTTCTAGAACAATCCTTTTAGATAATCCGCTACACCTGATAACTAGATATTAAATTCTGATACAAAGTGTTTATGAGATAGATTTCGTTAACCGGGTCACAGCACTAAACAATTTCGAATCTATGTATGCACATTCTGGGAGTGATAATACACTTACCTGCGTTGAGAGGTATTGATTAGATGTTCATTGCAAAAGAGTAATCAAGAAAATAAAACAGCCTTTCGTCACGATTGACACTTTTGTAGTAAGTGGTTGACTCGCACTAAACAATATACTGTTACATGATAACTTTATGAACAGTCGCCTTAGTAACCTCTTACCATTAACATTTGTCCTTTTTACAATTGAATTTCTCTCCTATCAGTTATTGTAAAGATGCCGCAAGTATTCGGAGTCTGATAACGCCTTTACACTTAAGAATCTTATAATCGAAGTATGCCAACCCAGTCAAATCAAAAGTCAGAAACGAAGACGTTTGAAGATATATTTGGAAGACCATCGATATGTCAGGAATGGTTTTGTCTGAGTTGGTCAACGATCGCAAGAGATGCGTATCATAGCGTACTCACTCGTGATCTGGTGTGGATGCATGACCTAGAGCCTTAGCTAGGTGTGTCCCAGTGAACTAATCAGGCTAGTATCAATGCCAAAGGCTTACAGAACTATTTGGTTTAGGGACTTATTTACCGCTACAGCTGCCTTTATTGTTTTCCTCCCTGATACGACACTTGAAGATCTTTGAGTTCAAGACTGTTCGATTTTGTCGTAACAAGAATCCCAGCATAGTTTATGCTTCTAACTTCGTATTTCTTCTCTGTTAACTCCAGTTTCCCATTCTCGATATGCAGTAGTTTACTGAAGTAGTCTACTTTTATTCTAATATCTTACAACGCCAAACTGATTGCCTGTCTAGTTTCTTGCAAGTAATGTTACACGATTTTAGTAAGACTGTGGTACACCTCAACTGTTGGAAATGTCAGTACTTTAAGAAACATAAATGAAAAGTTTTATTAGTTAGCTCATTATTACTCTGTCATTATCTTTTATTTTATTCTTAGTGGTCATATTTTGTAGTTAAATAAGATCGTCATGAATCTTAGGCACTTAAACGACGTCCATCGCTAGGTGAAACTTTCTTAATTAACAACATTTATATATAACTGAAAATCTTTGAAAGACAACTAGATATGTTTTTCACTGATATTCCGTAATAAGCCGCGATAGTTTTAAAAAAAACCTTAAAACTAGTTCATGAAATTATCTTCAATTAATTATGAGACATTATCAAAATAGTTTTCTTTAGAATCCTTAATAGACTATGTATATCATTTCTTCACTAAAAAAAAGTAAATATATTGATCCATAGTGATAAATCTTTTATTTTTAAAAAAAATCATACAACAACAACAAAAGCAGGAATTTTTTTCGGTTAAACTTCTGTTGAGCACAAATTATACAGGCTAGTCTTGGTGCCGGTGTTTTCTTTTCATGGTTTCTTTTTGTTGAAAAATTAAAGTAAACTACCCAGCAACTATATTACTCTTTTATTTAATATAAATAGTATTAACTTGAGAAAGTGAAACCATTGAAACTTTAAAACTGTTTGCAATAAGTAAACTATAAGAAATAGATGAATTACAATTATTATGAAATTTATTAGTACTTTATGAAAACATTCATACATATCTGATCATTAAAAAAGAATACATTGAATAAATAAATACATTTAGTTAAGAAGTCAGTAAAGGCAAACAATTAAATAACAGATACATCATACGTAAAGAAAGTGAAAAGTAAAAAAAAGAGAAAGAAGTACATTTCAATTCAATTTAAATAATATCAAATATTATTTTTGTTTCGATTTTCAATTTTTAAAACAAAAAACGAATTGTTTCCATATTAAAATAAAATATTTAGAAGAAAATAAAAAATAGAATAATTTCATGAGTATATATATCAGTCAGTCAGTCAACAACGTAGAACTTTGTACGTACATACATCAGTTCAAGTTGCCATATCACATTAAGACAAAGATACAGTTTTGGATGTAAATCCCATAATGGTAATAATAATAATAATAATAATAATAATGAAAAAATTATTGTTTATTAAAATATCAACACTTTTCAATAGTAAGAAATAAACTTACAATGATTAATCAAAATGTTAAATGTTGAATATTTAATAGAATTTTATGTTTACAATATCATTAGATACAGATTACTATTCATTTTTGATTTATACATAATACAGCAAAATAAGAAATCAGTATTTGAGTTATAATTTTAAAAAAAAGTCTCTGGGGTTTCTTTCTTTCTTTCATAAAATGGCAACACCTTCGAAGTAATACATGTTTTATTTTTTGTGGTTGAGATTAGTGTATTTACTTTGAATAAAAATTGTTCTCCACAGAACATAAGTAAAAATATTTATGAAACGCAAATATGGTATGTGTTCATAGGATGTAAGTGATTTCCAATCAAATAAGTATTTCTATTCATTGTCCAGTAATAAATAAAAAAAACACATTTAGATACATTTAACCATACCAATTTCTGTACCACAGAATGGACATTCATGTTTAACATCTTTACAACAATTTGTAAAGAATGGTATCAGAAAACAGCCTAGAACGCCACTGTTATATTCAATGATTATTGAAATAAGAGAAGGTAAAAAGAGGAATATTTAATGTTATTGAATGATATATTTGTTAACTAAAATTTATATCAGCTGATATCATAAGAGAAAACATTATGTGATATCTAAATGGATAAGATTTGACTACGTTCTTGATTAATTATCAAGAAAAATCAAAACGTTTTGAAGAACTTTCATGGTATATAAGTAACTACTATGTCTAACAAAGTCTTAATTAGTTAGCATTTGATAAATGACTAGTTGCTAAAACATCTGAACTATTAAATATAGATCTATTGTTATACAAATTCCTATTTTAGATATTTTTTTTCAATTGAGTAATTGTGCCTGTCAGCCGGAAACACTTAAGAACCTTCATAAAATTCTAGTAGGCTATAGCAGATACAATTACTGAGGAAATTTAAAAGACTCAAAGAGATGGTTTGTACATTTAACACCTATAATATATGGGAAAATGACAGGCGATTACTATGAAATTCATTCATCAAATATTTATTACAATAGAAAATAATGTTACGGAAACATAACCATTCTTAAACATTTGTGGGTGAGTGAATATGAATGACTGATAATGAATGATTAGAAACCTTTTATGCTCATTGTTTGGATATACATAAGTTGGATGATTAAAAACGGAAATATTGTTAAAATATTTCATCTATTTTGGCAAGAACTCTCTATTTTAAGTAAATATATGGTATTGAATAAAGTGGTTATCATTTTGTTTAATACAGTGGCTCAGTGGTCTCAAGGTTAAGCGTTCACGCACGAGACTGATAATTCCTGAGTCTGAATCTCGTGAGACGGGATCGTAGATGTGCACTGCTGAGGAGCCCCATATTAGGATGAAACGGCCGTCCAGTGCTTCCAGGTTTTCCATAGTGATCTGGCTTCAAATGACTCATGAATTCAATTAGTAAATTAATACAATCTTCACAAAACCTCTCTCTGATTATATACTGATTTATTCAATATTTAGTAAAAATTAATACGAAAAAAAACAGATTGAAGTAACAAATATTTTTGTTGAAGTTTCATTGAGTTCTGTTTGTACATGCAATTTGTCTAGTATCACACAATAAAATATTGATTAGATACATTTGACTATTCAACTATCATTCAATTTCAAATACTAACTTTGTTCATTCAACATACTAGTGTTTTACTATCTATATTTTCATTGTACAATTCGACTGAAATAAATATATTGATGTAATATTACTCTTGATCATTTCTAAAATGTTTATGAAGACAGATTATTTTGTGTTGTTTTTCTTTTCACTTACAAATGACCAATTGTAAAAATTGGAATTCTCTTGTAATTCCCATTCAATATTAACATTCAATCACTGGTTTATTATCCACTTGGTTGACTATACAGGTTATGACCAACAACTGAAACTATGAAATCCACCATATAAGCAATGACTAGCGTGGTTTTATAAATTTTTAAAGTGAATTTGTTCTAAAATATATACCATTTAGTATTCACTCAGTCGTGTTACAATATTCCTGAATTCACCGTAAGATATGAAGATCATTGTATGATCTTCACAATGCACTGATGAGTAGTCGCAAACTAGAAAAAAACAGATATCAAACACTTCTTGATTTTCAGTGGATATTTGGTGGTTATTAATCGTTTATGAAAATCCCTATGAAATATAACAATAATTTTGTACAAAACTACTTTATTTATTCAGAATGATTTAAGAATACCTATATTATTGGTGATTTTGTGTTGTGTAGAATAGATGACATCATTGTAAATCTCTTATTATCTTCATAGGTAGGAAAGTGAAAAAAATCCATATATTCAATAAGACGTTTTAGATGAACAAAGATCCTTGAAGCTTTCAAAATAAAGTAAGCTAATACTTATTTAATAGATGATTTTTAAAAAAATGTAAAAGTTTTGAATAAGTATTCATTTCCAACTTAGTAACTGTTACAAATTTCATTTAGCATTCAGTCAGTCAGTCAGCTACAACGTATGACCAAACACATATATGCATCGGTTCGAGTTGCTATACTTCATTAACCCAACAAGATAAACACCGGATTCATAAAAGTAGTTAATTCAGAAGTGGTGAAAGATTGCATATAAGTATATATTACAGGAAGAAAGAATTAATTCGTAGAAAGAAAGATATGAAGCGATTTCAATCTCTTAGTGCTTTTTTTATTTTTGGATAAGAATGAATAACAATAATATGAAATGCACTGTAACTATACTTAATTAATTCATTGAAATGATCGTTAGATTTCGCCCAAATGCACTTTATATTAAGAAAAAAAAACTATTTCTGTTATGGGTCATGTTAACTATGTCAGATCAATACATTCATTAAATACAATGCTATTTAAACTTCTTATAATTATTATTATTTGTCTGATGAATCATTTAATGACATTTTGTTTAGTGGTTTTTATTGTTTGTTTTAAATAATTAAAAAAAATAATTTATATACAACTTACCCACATAAAAAAATTAACACTGCCATAAGCCATGTTAAAACACCAACATGATATGTTATTCTGGTCACAGTAACATGTTGACAACAATCACATTGAAAAGATTTTGGTAGACGATTAAGTTTTTTAGTATGTTCTATATCTGATTCAGAAACTAATAATAAAATAAAAAATGAAAAATTTTTTTTCTTAAAATACATATTATCTATTTCACAATGATTTGATTATAATAATCTTAATCTTAATAATAATAATTATTATTATGATTATTAATGGCTTTATTCAATATTATATTTTGGTACAATATAGAATTCTCAGCACAGGGTATCTCAAAAAGTTTCTTACACATAAAAAACAGTAACAAAGACAAGAGAAGGAATAAAAATGTTTTAAAAAACCGAGGAACTGTACAACTTTACAAATTAGAGACATGTTAAGAATCCAGGTTATTGACTTGGTTAACTCTAACAGCCTGTTCGTCACAGAGTATATTTGCTAGGTAAGGTATTATAGAACTTTTACACTTCTGCTTGCGTGTATGGATTTTAATGTAATTACGTCTCGTTCTACCAGGAGATATACACGGAGAAAGATAAGATTGAAGGGGATGGTTAGTATCTGATAAAATAACACCTGCCAGGAGTTTGCATGATTTCAAATGTGTATCCACAACCATATTAATTATGACTTCGAAAGATTCACCACACATCTTGCTAACTGCCTTCAACACTCTCCGTAATACAGCAAAGTCTTTTCTAAAAAGCCCGTGAAATAATAATACAAAACAGTAAAGAATAATAGGTAATATGCAAGAATTGACAAACTGTAAGAGTAAATGAAGAGTAATCCCAAGAGCATACAATCTCTTTATGTAGTAAGTCAGACGGAGAACCTTCTTCGATAACAATAAAATGTGGGAAAACCAAGAGAGATCAGAGGAAAAGGTAACACCAAGATAATTGACCTTCGACACTGTGTTTATCAAAGAGTCTCCAATGGCACAAACATTATGAAATTTCAAAATGATGTTTAAATGCCGTTCATGTCTAATAATAATCTTAACAAAATAATAACAATAATAATACTTCTAATAAATGTTTATGTACTCTAAGTGTGATTGTTACCTTTTTCTTATTTATATTTTTTGGCACAAGATATTGTCATTAAAAAAAGGTTTTATTTAATTTAACAGAAATAAATAAAAAAAACGTTTCTATGTGAATACATCGTTGAAATTTAGTTAAAATAAGAATAATAAAGATTAGTTATTTATTATTTTAGACTGTTTATTAATGATCTAATATGATATAAATGACAAGTAGTTTTGAATGTTTTATGGATTCTTTCATATATGATTTTCATTGTAAGTATTAATGTATAATGAATACATGTTTTAAATTAATATATTAACCAAGATAACTGACATTTTGTTTATTTACTTAGAAGATTTATATGATAGAATTTATTAAGTTACTTATTAACAATACTGTTTAAAGATTGAATTGTTTACTTCAATGAATTATTTATTTAATTTATCATTGTTAAAATAAGTATGATATTCTATTGATTGTAGTCTAAGCTTAGTTATAAGGCTTAGTGATTTAAATTGGTATACTTTAATAGATTTTTAAAATGATTAAAGATAGTTTTATGCATTAAAACTAAGAAATAGATTGTAAGATACTGTTATATCAATGCAGTCAATTTAGCGGTTATAATTTAAACAAAGAAGATATTATTCAATTAGAGTTAATAATTATATCAAATGACATTTCCTTCTGTTCAATAAGTGATTAGTTTGTTGATTTTTTATTCCTAAAGTATATCAAATTCAATACACTCAATTTATAGGTAGTAATTATCGTTGAATTCTTGTTTGATCTTTTAGAGTGATTCATTTTTCTTAAGTTTCACTGTAAGATTGATTAGCGATTAACAAAAGTGTGCAAAAATAAAAATTTAGGGTCTCTTCCAACTGCCTTTAATTACATAACATCAAGAATATCATTCATTCTGTAATAATATTTATCAACGAAATTCGTTTTCTTAATACTTATATATTAGTGACTTTTTATCAAGTTAGTTGCTTTGCAATATTCGTCAGCTAATAAGTTTATTTAATAATTCCATTTTGAATACAATTAATTCAAAACTATGTATCATGCTAAATTACCATAATAAAATATCCTTCAATGTTTACAATATTATTTTTAATCATAGAACATAGATTTTTATGAAACTTACACACAGCTTACCTTTGCTTATAGATGCTCTGGGTGTTACTTGAGTTGTAACAAAAGTTTTTGTCAAAGGTGATGGTGTAGCTGCAAAAAATAAGTTACAAATAATGTATTTAGTGGAAATTATTTCTTCAAATTGTAGCTATTGCCAAATTCAAATGGGAAGAATTTATGTACTTAAAAATATCTAGATTACATTATTTCAAAGGGTATTTATTAATATACATAATTATGCATAATAAACATGGAATATGATGATAGAAACCAATGAATTATCTAACATTTATCAAATAATTAATAGTAACAGGTTTGTAGTTAATTAAATATCAAGTATTGATGGATATAATGTCGTTTAGCGTTCAACTAAGTGAACAGCTAAGTTAAAATTATTCTATAATAAGTAAAACTTATAAAATGAAAAAAATAATACAGATTATTTTTGCATATCAAACTTAATACAATGAGGATCTCCATTTAATAGTGATAGCTATACGATAAACAGTAAAACAACGTAAATTAAGCATAAAAAGAATCAAAGTAAATAATTTGGGATAGTGGTTGACCTTGGAATGCAAAGCATGTGCTTTAAACGTAAGTTATAATAACCTTATAACTATAAATAATTATTTGAGCTATTCATTCAAGCAGAGCATATATTTATACAGAGTTTACAGATCTAACTCATAATATTAACAACTGTAGAATATGAATCATTACAACAAACAAAAGCAATTAGTTTAATTTACATGTCGTTAAATTTTAAATGTTTAACAAAACTACTTACGTTTTGCAATAGAAGGTTGTTCAGATTTAATTGCTTGGTTTTGTTGAATTTGAGCCTGAACACTCAATGGGACTATAAAAACAATACAAAAATATAAGGATACTACTTTGTATAACTTAATTTTTTCTCACTAATATGATTCTTTTTAAATATACAGTCAAATTATAAAAATGAAACTCTTAATTAGTTAGGAATGATTTTTAATTTCTTCATCTGCAAGAATTTCACATCTTCATTTATTGTCATATGGATTTGGAAAAAAAATGTATTTTAATCTAATACACAATAATATCTTTTTTGGAGCAGTCTTGGCTTTGTGTAGTAAGTAGAGGGTGATTAGTGTAATGCTTGTTTATTTCTGTCGAAAATTGCACTATTTAAAAGCACTGGAAATAATTCAAGTAAACATTATCGACAAATTAAATCATAACAAAATAATTTTTAAAGCCTATATGAATATATGTTACAATGAACACGAAAAGTTCAGTGATTTAATCAAAACAAAATTGGAAAATGTAAACAGTTAAGTGAACGAGAGACATATACATATCTGTATAAGGTGTATTTGAAAATTTACCAAAATGGTATTGTTAAAACATCAAGTGTTAAAAGTAGTCAATGGATTAAATGTGAATGACAGTAAGCTATCACTAAAAGTTAAAAGCAAATAACTGGTAATAAAATTTACATGAATAGCAAGAATTATTCCCTGAATAATGAAACATGCTTCTTTTACTGATTTTCATTTTACTTTAAATGAAGTAAATGAAGTAACATTGCTTTTATACATTTTGTATTTTTAAAGTTAATTGAGTCAAAGTTAGATTTATTTTCTCTACATCCTTTGAAGAAAAGTTACACCTACTTCAAAATAATTGGTTAACAAAGAGAAAAGTATAACTACATTCTGTGAATATATATGTATATAGCAAGTAGGCAGTAAACAACTAATACATACTAGGAAGTTGATTTTCCTTAGTTTCTTATCACACGCTAACACAAAGTCAAATATAAAGCATTCAAGTCTCGCGTAAAACATGGGATCGTAAAGTTACTCTGCCAGAATTTAGTTGTCTAGGTCATTTTGATGCAGTACAAACGTCTTTCAACATCGATGGGCCACATTAGAGTTGTAGGATTTGATAGGTCATGACTTCTGTTCAAAACCTTGAGGAATCTATCTCGAAGCAAGTTATCAATAGTCAGACGTTTATTAACGAGCTTTTTAGTTTTGGTAGACCTCCCTGAAATCAGTTTTTAATGAAAAGAACCTTCAGTTCAAACGAAACTTTCCGAAAAACTATTCACTTTATTCATAAGTACACAAGTCTGATTCAAGGTCTTTATAAATATTTTCTATCATGCATAAGTGATTTTTTAATTTATTTATACTATCAAAGTCATATTTTAACGTTTTAAAATAATTGGAAACATAATTCTACTAGTTACCAGTCAAGTCAAAAGTGAAAGTGTATGCCTGTTTGTATGTGATTGTGTGAGACTGAGAGAGAAAATTAATTATTGGACAAATCAAGCCGTTAATTCAATTCATTTGTTCTGTTCAAAATGAAAGTATTTCTTCACAACACTATTTTGTTAGTAATTTTAATATTGCACATACTGATTTATACTAATAAATTATTATTAAATTATTACTGTTTCTACAGTAGTATGTCATCTAATCCTACTAATGGTAGTGTACTGAACAGAACACCAGTGGGGACAATCAAATGTATTTAACACAAAATTACAGGATTTGTTAATAAAATCTAACAATCATAAAGTAAATGCTTAATTTGCAAAATGTCCATCAATTGTCTCAAAATCACTCAAACTTCATTGTCTTTGAATTTTCATACAAATTGCATTCTGTTTCCATTCCTTACTGTCCGATTCTTTTGTCTCTCTGCTGCCAGACCTTCTGTTCACGACTAACATCATATACTACTTATGTCAATATAAGTAGCACACACCACAGTAGTGTATCATACACAAAAGTCTGATATATTTTCTATATACATAGTTATTAAGTTAGTTATTAATGAAAACAATTGTTAAATTTTCATTATTCGACTTAGATTTGTGATTATATTCTATATGTTTCATTTGTATAATCTACTTTATAGCCTGAATCATTTACTAGATTGATGTTGTTGAGAACATGAGAACAAACAACGTAAATAATTTGACCGAACCAAAATATTTTTTTGACTTTTTACAATTTTAAAAGCTTAATTTTAAGTGAATTGATGTATGATAACCGAAAAATCTGTACTTGTACACTATTCTTCAATGGTTTCATTAATTAGACTTTAACCGTTTAAGATCATTATACATTTATGAAATCTATTTTATGGGTAATTTAAAATGAATAAGGATTTTTTTAAAAATCCATCCAAGCTTCTGCTACAGGATAAAAGTAAATACAATAATGATAAGTGCCATTCAACTATAATGAAATGAAAACTTTTTTGACTAACGCCTGCACATTAGTTATAATTTGTGGTTGAAGACTTTGGATGAAATTGTCAAAACAGAAAGAGAATCTCTGTATTTTAACTGTTAATAAAATTGCTTAGATTAATAAAAATCATAACAGTATTTTAATCGATATGTTCAGCCATAAAAGTCAGTGCATTAAGTGACAAAACCGTTATGCAGATTAAATTTAGGTAGAATAAGTTATTCACTAAATAGAATTTCATTTATCATCCCTTTCTAAAATATACTGATTACTTAATTGATGGATTTACAGAAGAACATGAAATGTTACTAGAACATAAATTAGCATCCATTTGCTTCCAGTTTAACATAAATCTTACCTTTGGATTTAGTCAACATATGAATGCTAATTAGTAATTTGAATGATTTTTTAATTACATTCATTCAAAATTACATCGTATGCTTACTTATTGTAACAATCCATTTTTGATATACATTTACACATATATATATTATGGTTTACCTGTTAAAGAACTTTTCAAAATGCTTCTGTCATTGTACGTTCGCCAAGTATTGGCATAGTCTACAAGTCAAATACTATTTGAAGGGATTCAAATGTCTTGATTACAATAATTTTGTTTTATAATATGGGAAAAAATGAAGGGAAAAACTGAACTTCTTAATTTTTCAAATGAAAAGAAAATAAATAAATAAATAAAATGCGAATTAGTTGGCCAGTAAAGAAGAACATAAAAACATTTGATGAGTATAAAACATTTTTGAATACCAAAGCAAAAAGGAAATCTGCAGTTATTTCTATCATAGCTCTTTACTTTTCATGTATTGATTAAAGATATATTGATCAATAATACAGATATAAAGCTTCAATATACATATATATTTATGTGAATATAAGCAATTACTATTTTAACAGAGATGAAATATAAATAGATATCATAGTTACACCATTATTTTGTTAACTAGCAATTAGATATGTTGTTTTTCAATTTGAAATAGGATTAGTAAAAAAAGAAAATACCATTTGATATGAAATGATAAACATTAATCTTGTATGTTTGATAATTATTTTTATTTTAAAACATTTAGAGCAAATTAAGTCAATTTTAAAAATATTTATATGCTTGTAATTGTCTAGAGCTTAAGCGCTCACGAGCGAGACTGATAGGTCCTGGGATCGTGGATGTCCCACAGTAGAATGAAATGACCGTCCAGTGCTTCTAGGTTTTCTATGGTGGTCTAGCTTCGATTGACTCATGATCTCAACTAATAAAATTACTATAATATCTACAAAACTGTTTGTGATACCAATTTAATTATCCTTGAATACATTGAAGTCATTTGATTATAAAACATTAATTGTTTAATTTCAATAGTTGAGATCATGAGTCAATTGAAGCTAGATCAACATGGAAAACCTGGGACTCCTCAGCAGTGCACACCTACGATCCCGCCTCGCGGGATTCGAACCCAGGACCTACCAGTCTCCCGCGCGAGCTCTTAACCACTAGACGACTGAGCCGGCATCCAGCAGTGTTAATGTCTAACTTCAACTAATCCACAAAATTGAGCGGCACATCCACCATTGTCATCAGTGAGTTACTACCTCACAATTGACCCTATTGAACTCCACTGGTCACTGCTTCCCACTAGAACTCCAGGATATACTTTTTGAAGCCAGTCACTAGTGAGCATATGTTGATTAGTATCAAAAGGGGTTTTGCGGAGATTATAGTAATTTCATTTTGAAAGTATAACATCGAAAGATTTAATATAAGTGTGGCATGAAATGTTTGATTAAATGACACAGTGAATATTATTAAATCAATCATATTACTCTTCACAATGAATTACATTTAAAGTGACTCTATAAACAAATTTTTATTATTCATTTACACTGATTGTTTAGTTTCTTTTAAATTTGTAAATTGATATGTCTATTACTAAATTAACAGGTTAAATTACTTTAATGGGATAATAACTTTGTAGGTTCATTCATTCTTCCTTAGATCTTCAGTTTTAGAACTGTCCTTAATTTTTTATTACGTGACTTCATTCTTTCTTTCTAAAATCATATTATCTATGCTTAATTTTCTTTATTATTGTTTCTGTTATCCTGACATTTATTTTCACAAATTCATCTCTCAGTGTTGATATAGTGTAATAATATGAATTGATGCATATATATGTCAGGTCTATATTATTTATGGATATAAAACAATAAATGAATCGTTAAAACTGAAATAACTTGTACTGTGAAATTCTAGTTTGTAAAATATTTGATGTAATTATATACAACAGAGATTAGGAACAGTAAACAAATGTGTAAACTTACTACATGCGATCGATGCTCTTGGAATTGTCGATGATACAGGTATTGCTGAGATACATAAAAAAATAATTAACTGTTAACCCAATGTAAATAAACAAACTAAGTGATTTTGTTTCAACTTAATCACAAATAAATATTGTCTTAGTAAGCATTGAACAAGATAGAATTATATACAAGTATATAGTTGTATTTTAGAAAAAAAAACATTATGTTCTAAATAAATAAATAATATATTTGTAAAATTCCAATCAGTAGAAAATTAGATTTCCTGACGTTTCGTGGCTTGGTGTAAGTCACTTCTTCAGAGAATAAAAGAAGTGACTTACACCAAGCCACGAAACGTCAGGAAATCTAATTTACTACTCATTGGGATTTTACAAATATGTCATTTATTTGTAACAATCTACCCAATGCTCAATTTATTTGAAATTATTATGTTCTAAATGTTTATATATATATATATTCTTAAAATTAAATGTTTACTTTTTAATCATTCAGCTTCATTAAAATTATATTATTTTGAAATGCCTTTTTTCACAACAAGCGTAAATTATGAAGTAAGCCCAGAGAAATGTGATTTTTTTCAGGCTACTTATTTTTGAGTCATTAATGAACACGTTTAAAGATAACTTGATACTTTGTTTCAAAGATAAATTATGAGTGTGCATGTTTTTGGAAATTCATCAAATCATCTTGAACTGAAAGCATCTAAACGTTCACATCTATAAATTGCACAGATCTACTATTATTTCAATCATGTATGTCAAGTCTGTTTAACAATAAATGCACTAAAATATTACACTATCAGACCACAGAAATATCAACAGTTTGGAAAGAGTTATTATCTATAATGTGTTAAAAAAATAATGATGGGCCAAAATATAGATCTCATAGTATTTGTATTTTCCTGTCAATGATGATTTAGTTAAAAATAATGAAAATAAAACTGAATAATCAATTAACATTTTAATATATATTAGTTCACATTTTGTAGTTTAAAATTACTAATAGTTATATGTTAACTATTGGGAAATAATTCTTAGAAGGTTGTAGACTTCTTATTTATAAAATTAACACTTATTTACAATAATCGGTTTCCATTTTGAATAAAGCAATTGAAAGTTCAGATTTTGGTTGACCCTCAGGTGTGTTGAAGCATATAAAACATTAAATGATAATTAGTGTTTTTTACCCTGATCCTTAGTGTTGCACAAGTTTTATCTAGAAACCTATGTACTGTTGTCAGTAAGCTGTGGAATCGAACACCCCTGAGAGATTGTGCTAATGTTGTGTAATGAAGGATACTATTAAGGTTATTTAAATAGTGACAATTTAAAAATTATGGATGTCAGTTGTTTGAAATAATTTATTGTGTTTTATATAACTTCTTTTAATCTGTTTATGTTTTACAAGAGTTTTATTAGCCAGCGCTTGCTAAATAGTTGGTATAATTTTCAAGAAAATAGATCACCGTCACTAGAATTTAGAGACTATGTTATATAACGCAATTAAATTACACACACAGAAAAGGGAGATTACAAATAATTCTTATGAAAAATTCTTTCAGTTCAAATGCTGAGCAATGTATGAATACAAACAACAAATAATATAAACACAGGATAAATTGTTTTCACGTTAATTATTCTCACTAATATAATACTTTGGTGCTTTTCCCTAAACTATTGATAGACGTCTAGTCGATTTCTATTGATCATCACCAAAGATTAAACAGCATAATATTGATTACCATTTGGTGGCGAACCAAGTGCAAATAGAAAATCAGTCAAGGCATAATTAGTGTACGGATTCCATTTTGCGGCTATAATACTGTATGACACGAATTTCAAGCTCTGGGGATTATCAGTTTTCTGAAGTAGATAAACACATTCTGTCAATGAATATATCTAACATCAAACCTAGGTTCAGAACTTAATAATGAAATGCGTAAATTAGCTATACATTAAATGATATATATATATATATAGCCAATTGAGTGGAAACTGAAGTATTATTCTCACTTTTGTTTCATAAATCATACGACAGAGCACCTAGTCATTATTATAGTGATAATGAAGACACCTATACTTCAATACCAGTCATTCTTTGTCGTCATTGCGGAATAAAATCAGTTCTTTTATTAGTTTGTTCAGTTAGTTTATTTGGTAAGTGAAATATTGTGTAACTCAAGTAAAATCAAACAAGTAGTTGAACTAAATTTTTAGATTGAAAAAATAACTTCATAACATAATCCAATGTTTGTGAATATTGAGGGCTTTTATACAACAAAACTTCTGAATAGATTAAGCAAAGAACAGAGTAATTAACTTTAAACATTGATGTATATATTTAAAGATTTGTAGTGACACCCTTACGATTAATTTTGATAACGGTCAAGCACTTTAATCTGACAGACAACTTTATAGATATAGTAATAAGTCGTTTATTTCTTTGTATTAACAGGACCGCTATGATACCTACGCAAACGTATATTTCTGTCTGACTCAAATATTGATCGCTTAAATATAACTCGATGTATAATTCTCCATCCTTCATATAGATGCACTTACTTACTTACGCCTGTTACCCTTCGTGGAGGAGCATAGGCCGCTCACCAGCGTTCTCCATCAAACTCTTTTCTGAGCAATTCTTTCAAGTCACTGGTCATTCTATTCACTTCTGCTTCCAATTCCAAACGCAGTGTTTTTTGACCTTTCTCTTTTCCGTTTCTCTTCAGGATTCCAAGTTATGCCTTACCTCATGATGCAGTTTGATGATTTCCCTGATGTGTCCTATTCACTTCCAACGTCTTTTCCAGATTTCCACCTCAGTTGGAAGTTGCTTTGTTCTCTCCCATAGTAAGCTATTGCTGATCGTATCCGACCAAAGCACATTCGGTATCTTGCGTAAAAAATTGTTTAGAAATACTTCTGCTATTTTGATTATGCTTGTAGTAGTTCTCCAAGTTTCAGTTCTGTACAGTAGAACTGTCCTGACTTTCGTATTGAAGATTCTGACTTGTTATTTGTTGACAGTTGTTTTGAAATCTATGTGTTCTTCAAGTTAAGAAATGCTATCCTTGCTTTACCAATCCTCGCCTTTAAGTTTGCATCATATCCTTCTTGTTCATCAATGAAACTTCAAAGGTAAGTGAAAGATTCCACCTATTCAAGAGCTTCTCCATGAAGTGAGATTGAGCTGGTGTTCTCTGTGTTGCATTTGAGGATCTAACTCTTTTTCTTGTGTATGTTGAGGTCTACTGCTTCAGAGGCTGCTACTACATTGGTTGTCTTGACCATTATTAATTGATGTACATGGGATAGAAGTGCTAGGTGGTCTACAAAGTCCAAATAGTCCAGTTGCATTCAAGTTTTCGATTGTATTCCGTGCTTTCCCTCAAATGTCGGTCTTCATAATCCAGTCAACTAGAGAAAGAGTGAAAGTAAGCAGATTTGTCTGAATCCGGTCCATACTTGAAATGCGTTTGTCTACTATCCTTCATACACGACTTTGAACTGTAGTCCATAGTACGCATTCCGGATGATGTTAACGATTTTCTCAGCTACTCACTCCATAGTGTCGAAGAAGTTTCCGTAATGTTCTTCTAACCACACCGTCAAACGCCTCACAGTCAGGGAAGTTGATCTATAATGACGAATTCCATTCAGTTAACTGTTCAACGATGATCCGTAGTGTCGCGATTTGGTTTTTGCACGACCGATCTTTACGGAATCCAGCCTGTTGATCTAGAAGTTTTGTGTCTTCTGAGTCTTTCCTGGTACTTACATTAATGTGATGCCTCCGTAGTTTTCACATTTGCTCAGACCTCCTTTCCTTCTCATCTTGATGAGGTATCCTTCTTTTCAATCTGTCAGTGGCACTTGTTCTTCCTTCCAAATCCTCCCGAATAGAAAGTGAGAGTACCTTTGCAGTTATTTCTATATGTGACTTCGGTCTGTATATTCTCAAATACTGCTGTTTTCCTACTCAAGAACTGTCTAGTGGTCGGCCATCCTGATTCCTTCGGTCGCTGGTGGAGTGACATTCATAGGAAGGTCTGTGTCTGCTGCTTCAATATCCGAATGATTCAACAGAGTTGACCTATTCAGGAAGTGTTCAAAGTGCTCTACCCATCTGTTCATCTGTTCACAAATTTCAGTAATTGGCTTATTTACTCGTTCTTGACTGATCACTCTGCTATACGATATTTGCCTGCTAGATTATTCGTTGTGTCATATAGTTGATTCACATTTCCTTCTGTAGCACCTCTTTCCACAGTCGTTGCTAGGTCTTCCACGTAGTTCTCCTTGCTTTCTGTATAATGTTCTTCTCCACTAGCTTATCTGCCCCTGTGTATTCAGCTTGTGCTATGACTTGCTCTGTCCTTGTCTGGTTGTTGTTAATTGCTGCCTCCATATTCTCCTTTCTTTCTTGAATCTTGTCTAGGGTTTCCATAGAGATCCATTCTTCATGATGATGCTTCTTGCGGCCCGTAATCTCCTGACACGTTGAAGTTGGTGCTTGTTTGATCTCTTCCCGGTCGCCCTCCATAGTATTTTCTGCTTCTTTCAGTAGCTCTTGTAAGTCTGGGAACCTGTTGTTGAGAGTTATCTTGAACTGGTTAAGTTTGCCAGTATGTCGAAGCAAGTCTGTATCGAAACTTTGTAATGCTGTTTGTCCGGTTGTACAATGTTTCTTTAGCTTCAGTTTCATGTTGGCAACCGCCAGTCGATGATAATCTGAAGTCATTTCAGCTCCTCTCCTCATTCTCATACCTCTCATTGTCCTTCTGAATATTTTATTGATACAAATATGATCTATATGGTTCTCCGTGATGTGGTCCGGTGAGACCCATATAGTTTTGTGTATGCGTTTGTGTGAAAATATTGAGCCACCTGCAACCACTTTGTGGAATGCACATTGGTTTGCAAGTCTCTCGCCATTCTCGTCCCTTTCTCCCAATCCATGTCGTCGCACCATATCTTCATAACTGTTGTCGTCCATTCCGACTTTGGCTTTTAGGTCTCCCATCAGGATGGTGAGATCCATTCGTGGGCACTTCGCTATGATTGATTGCAGCTTCTCGTAAAAGTGATCTTCATTGTTGTCATTGCTATCATTGGTGGGTGCATAACGTTGGAAAACGTTGATTGTTATTTCCTCCTACTTTGTTCTGTAGGATGCTTTGATGATCCTGGGTCCATGAGACTCCCATCCCATAAGTGCAATTCGTGATTCTTTGGACGGCATCAGAAGAACTCCTTGAGTGTATGGAACATTTTCCTCTTCGTGACCGGAGTACAGCAGCATCTCTGCAGTGTCTAAACTTTGCTCTCCGGACGTTCTATGTACCTTTCAAAATTGTTGTTCTAGTTGTTAGAAAGGACGTCGGATTCGAGACTTCGTAAGAATCTCTACTTTTATCATGAGGCGTCATAATACTTTCTTGAATTTGGAGGACATAGTTTACATGGCTTAAATTGTTTATTCTGGTTGGCGTTTTTTTTAGCATGGTTGTTTTCTACGGGATGAGGTTGCCGACTACACGCCCAACCCTCCACCATAACGCGGACTTGGGACCGGCAGTAGCCCTAGAAAAGCTACAAGTGGAGTTCTCATATATATGTGCCCGTATTATAAAAACAAACTGTGCTTTGATTCTCCATGACATTATTTTTTGTGACAATAAATCTGTCTCTATATTTGCTTGCAACTATTCATTAGCTTTTCTGCTTCAAATCCGCTTGATGTGTCTGTCATGCCGTGGTCGGCACGACCAGATACTGAGTTGTAATCGCAGCTTTATGTCGCCTTCTGAATCCCGTCCCATGGGTTCCCCGTAATAGCAGTTATCAGGATGAACGTTTAACGAAACTACGCTCATTACAGTTTTCATAGTGTACGAGTTGATTTCAGCTAAACTAAGTAGATCAATTACAATGTGTACGAGTGGAACAAGTTCAAAATTTCCGAGGGTACCACGAATTTTATTGAGTTTAAAAGTAATCGAATTATGATTGCCTTTAAAATCGTTCAAATATATAAACTGAATGATTCAGTCCCATCCAAGCAACCAAAACCTCTATTGATTTTTTTCATGAGTCGCTATTTACTTTAGAACAATGACTTAATAAAATTTATCCTTATTGTTTTGCAACTAAACATCACTAAACTTATGATTAGCGATCATGAATATATGTATAATAAACTAGAGCTTATGAATCTTTGCTAAACAAATGATAGAAACAAAAAAATTGGAAGTTGCATTACTTACGTCCAGCTGATGTAACCGGCGTATTCAAATATGGTGTTGCACGTGGACTGTTTCTTGGAGGAAGGGCTGATTTAGATATAAAATAAAAAATCCAAACATTTTTGAGCAGATAAATTATTTTAATCAATAGCTAATTTCGTAAACCTTTTTATAAAGGTCTTATTTTAATAAAATAAAATTCAACTAAAAAATCTGATAATATAGCCAGATATTTATGATATTCATGGACATTTAGTTGAAATTAAACATAACTTTTACTGATTCATACAGTTCTTTTAATTTTGAATTATATATATATATATAATACCTCTGAACTAATTAGCAGTATAACAACAAGATTCAAATATAACAAGAAATAACCGACCTACAGATTAGTATAGTAAGAAAATTGTTTATATTGCCTAAAGGAAATGTTTAATTTCGAAGATATGCTCCACTGAGCCAATGGTTCTCTTATCATTGGTTTGATGATTCATTTACTGATTGGCCAGGGTAGCAAAGATGTTTAAATAAACCGTTTAGTGTGTAATCAAACTTTTTAGATAGCGAATGAATAGAAAAAAAAAACAGATTAACAAGTGGAACAAACTGACCTCCAGATCCGGATGCATTCTGTACTGAATATCTCCTTTTTTCTGATGACAATGCTGTAATATAAAATACCTGATAAGTGAATAATGAAAATTCTTTTAAAACGTAAACAAATATGTTATAGAGCTGTTTATTTGTTGATTTATTTCGAAATATCGCCTTATCATCTTCAGACATAACTTGATAATAAATACATTTCAAATCACTTTGTGATTGAGAGGCAAAGATAAATTGAGAAAAAAAAATAACGTATTCCATCCAATTGTTAACCTCACATTTAACCTGATTTATAGTACGTTTCCTTTTGTAAAAACGTTTTATACTCATGCAAGTCGTGGTATAAAGCATTTGATTAACTAAAAATAATCTGTGTAGCTAATATAATCATTCATACAGTGGGAGTAAATTATTGCTTTTTTGCTAAGCAAATCAGCCAATAGGTTTTCTGTTAACAGTTAACATCTAATATTGTTTTGATACGTTTAAAATAATGTTTACAAGTTGTATTAAAAGTCTTAAGAAAACAAAATACATAAAGATTATTGAAAAAGCAAGTAAAATTATAATTCTATATATAAAAAAGACTGTTTCTAAGAATCATTACCAAAGTTTGACTTGATGTACTCAAATAACCAGAACATGAAGTAGATTATTTATAATAATAAAAAAATTTGTTATATTCCAATGAGTAGAGAATTGAATTTCTGACGTTACACTACTTAGATTAAATTGTTCTTTCAGAGAATAAATAATTAAAATAAATTAACACCATTTTAATTGGTATAGACGAACAAATCAAAATACAAATTTGATCATTTTTATGTCAAATTATTCAAGTCAAAGGGGAGATGTGTATATTTACTTATGTACGGTCGAGAGTGGGAAGAGTTAGCTCTCCCTCTCGAAACGCTTTCACATGTCCACGTGCATACAACAACTACTAGGGAAGTCCCACTCACTGCCTTCTCGCAGAAGAGGTGTTGTTTACGAAATTGAGAGGATGAAAAGCGAATGTCTGGCACTTTACCCGGATTGGTGGACACGAAGGATCCACCTAGAGGAGTTGGAAAACCCTGATCCCAAACCAATGGTGCATATGAGTTACATGATCCTAAGGGAGCAAAAGGCCTATGAACCTATTGTTGGTCACCGGCTACCATGGATTTGTATCTCCTTATTTTGCTCTACTGCCTTGTAGAATATACGTTTTAATCAAAGGCTCCGGTTGTGGCCCCTTTAGAAAACAATCTGCCTCGGCCTAAGCACTCGGGTAGTATCACAGCCCACACACAAATAAAATGAAATGATGATAATTACTGAAAACAATATTTTCGCCTCGATTAAAACTCAGACAATTCCCATTCATTTTTCTTTTTCCTATATACTACTTTCATTCATTTCCACTTTGTGCATCCTTATTTTTCGACTTATACAGAAGCTCGCCTATGGTGGAAACCCTGTTCTATCTAAACGATTTCGAGTTACTGACCGGTCGAAAGTTGGATGCTACCACCGACTACGAATACCAAGTCTTTCTGAAACCACGTATATCACACAAACTGGCCTCCTTCAACGTTCGCACACTAATGGAGATCGGACAACACATAGGGCTGGCTGTCTTTAGAAAGTTTTAATATCGATATCTGTTGTCTAGCTTCAGCGAAAAACTCTTCAATATCAATGTCTTACTCAACAGCTTCATGTCTTATTTAAAAGCATCTTTAGTGCATATTTGATTAGTTCCGTTAAAGAGGCACTTTGCAAAGCCTTAGTTGTATTCTAGGAAACACAAACCTATATTTTTTACTTAGAAGGGATAACTTTCTTTATTTGTAGTCACATTTAATCATAACAAGTGCATTAGAACCTTTATCAGATTTAAGGATCCCAATATCTGGTCTATTCTGCGGGTATATTAAAGTATTTGAATGTTTAGCAGCCCGGATATCACTGTTTTGTTTTTGAAGCATAAAAACTGAGCGATATCGAGTAATTTTGCGCTCAGGAAATTCTGCTTTACCTGTGTGTTCGAAGCAAGAATGCCAACTTAGTCACAGAAATTTTTTGATTCATCATCATTCTTGGTATGAGTTATTTATCTTGGTTCACAACCCCGAAAATGCGTCTTAACTGGCATTTAGAGACCTACTGATTAAATACTTTGTGGAAAGGAGTAGCGAACTGAGGTTACTGAGATAATCGTAGGGCTTATATGCAGATATCTCCGATTTGCATAAATTTGACCAGTTATTAAATACAGAACAATAATTTCACAGGGATACACTAAGTTTATGTTATCTGTTGATTATTTAAGCTCACAAACGTTTATTAACTTAATTATTTGATGGGTAAATGACGCGCAATCACCACAGTACTGTATCTGTCGTTATTTCTTCGATTCCATTCATATGGAAATCAATGAAATTACGCAAAATGTGTTCTTATTTTCTAGAAATTAAGGACCTGAGCTTGGAAACCTTTGAAAATTAGGAAACATTCAATAATTCCTCAATGGTGCACGATTACGAACGACCGTCCAGCCCTTCTATGTTTTCAGTAGTAGTATAGCTAAGATTAGGTCATGATCTAAATTGTGAAAATTCTACAATCACCAAAAATTTTGTATACTAATTTAGATTTCGTTAGAGAAAATTGTGACAATTAAGAGCGGTGAAATGTTTTCAGCAAACTCAAAACAACATGTATGTAATGTTGGTTAGTTATCTGACTGTCGTATATCGGCATCTTCTATTTTTAATTACAATTTGGATGTTGATACGTCTTATCATTTTGGTACCTCCAGCATTAATAATCTCTGAGGTCATACTAAGAAGGTTCACAACCCGCGATCTAATGAACTTGAAGTGGGGTTCCGTCCCAGTCAATTACTGGGACGCCTTACCCGAACAAGTGGAATCAGCCCCATCAGTAAACATTTTCGAGAAGCTGGACCTTCACTAGAAGGTAAACTGTCAGGATTAACACAGGTCCACCAGCCTACTATCTTTATTACTGGAGACTGAAGACTGACTGATCTTTTTGTCAACAGCAAAACAGCGAGTTCGATATACACGATGAAGGGAAACGATTATATGTGAAATGTTATCTTTTCTCAAAAACGAATGAAGAATGTCTATACTTAAAAATATTGCCAGTTTCCATGTGAGTAATTGCTCAGATCGAAATAAATATCTCTAAAATATTGCCAACAAAGCTTGAATTTGTGTGGTTACGTAGTAGGTTAGTTAAGCAACTTTTTTCCCAAAAGTAAACAAACGTAATTCATTACATCAAGATACGTAAATAAACAATATTTAATTTACATAAGTGACAAACCTGTATCCTTGAATACGGCTGCAGATAATTGGTGAGGAAGAGTTTAAAAAGGAAAAAGGATAAGAGTAAATTAGTGTTTCAATTTATTCAGTAATGTAATAATACATAATAGTTAGTTTTAATCAAATAACAGAAATAAAACTCATAAAATCAATACGTGATTTTTACTAAAGTGTTCTTCTAAGTGCTGTTGTTTATCACCAAATCAGTGAATAGATTCAATTAAAAGTACACAGTAAACTTGAATTCAGTAAAGTGTGTGAAAGGAAAAAAATATTAAATTAGAAACATTCTCATTTCTCTAATACACCGTATTGTTTTTAACTGTAATCTAAAATTAAAAAAAACTATACTTAAACAAATGTTAAAAATTAACTCTACTTAAAGTGTGTATTATATTTAGTTAACTTATCTAACTGATAAAGTTTATAAAAGATAACACTTTCTAAAAGTCTGTTAGCATAAACAAATTGATTAATGATAACAGATGCAGAAAAATGGATAAATGTAGTTGTCTAAGAAAAAAAAACATTTTTAATAACTGTTGGATGCCGGCTCAGTGGTCTAGAAGTTAAGTGTCCACATGACAGACTGATGGGTCTCGAATTCAGATCTGGAAGGGAGGGGTGCTCACTAATGAGGAATTTCATACTAGTACGAAACGGCCGTCGAATGTTTCCAGAGTTCTCATGGTTGTCTAGCTTTAATTGACTCATGAATTCAACCATTAAATATATATTTGTTTACACAAATTTCTGCAAACTGTCAACCACTTATTTAAACAGGTAGATGAGTGTAATAGTGCAACCTTATTTTGATTGTGTTCAGTTTAAAGTTATTAAAACAAAAGTTAATATTGAAATAATGTTATACATAGATAATTATACTGAACAAAACAACAAACATAAAATATACACAATGTAATAATTTGAATTTATAATATTAATACTTGACAACATTTTACAAATGCCCATGTGAATATGAAATTAAATGAATCTTATAAAAAGTAAATGGTTTGAGCAAATCCTTAATGTTTCATAAAGAAATTGAAGATTGAAAAAAATGTAAAATTTCATAAATTCATAAGGTTAATTCATGAAAATTTTAGTGCTATTTTATTTATTTGATAAGTTGGTAACATGCAAAGTTTACTTTAATAAATCAATTTATTATTAAATTATTTACTTACATAATCTACCAATGACTTTAGGTAGTGGCTTTTGACCTTGTGATAATTCTTCAGTACTAGAGATTTCAGATGGTTTACGTGATTGTGCCAACGCTTTTTGAAGAAAAATATATATATATTATGGTTATAAATTATTATTCATATATGAAATTTCAAGTTTCAAAGACGAAAAAAAGATTGTATGAATGATAATTGATTGAACTACAAAACAGCAAGGAATTTTTTTTTACATAAAATTGAAAAACAAACTGTTAAATAGTAATCTAGCAAACTGACTACTATGCTGAATATAAGACCTAGAACTTTTGAATACGAATACCTTTGAAGTCACAGACGTGCTGTCGTAAATTTTTGGAAGAGAAACACAGTTTGTAGAAGGGTGAAGAATAATAGAGTATGAAAAGCATATTTTAGGACAGTGTGTGTGAACTGCATATATAAGTCAAAATTTAACCCGACACTGGATTCTATAGGAAATGTGCATTCATATGAAGATATGAGATAATTCAAGATTAATGTCAGGAGATGGGATTATTTATATCAAAAGCTTGAACAGTGGCTTTCCAAACTCAAATTCATTTAATATGTAACCAACTTCACACGTTTGACAGACCTCACTTTCCAATATCAAGTCTATAAAAAGTCTTCCGTAAATCTGCCAAAGAATGTATTTGCCATGTTTTAGCACTAAGTACTTTAGTTTAATAATGTTTCAAAGAACTAAACGCTTCGGATCACAGTTTTATTTGTTGATTGATCCAATAATTCTAAGAATAGAGTAGCTAACCATGATATATTAATGGGAGTAATAAGCCTCCAAGAAGGAAATGCTATAAATGCTATTGACTATATCCTAGACACTATTCGAAGGAATTTTCACCAAAAATATTTATTTAGTGGTCCATATTCAGAAATCACACAACAGAGATAAGTCTACCTTCACTCATATGCATTACGATAAGTAGGATGATTTCAGATTGCAATGGTTGAAACCATTTCATTGATTAAGTAACACT